TCCCTGTGGAACACGGAACAAAAAGAAAAAGTCTAGAACAAGATCCAATGGAAACACGAAAATGTGAAGGAAATTTTGGAAACATAATATAGAAACTGAGCTGAAATATTCCACAACTACAAAAATTTGGTAAATACATAGGCATATGCAAGTGAAAGTTTCTGAGAAGAAAAGAAAAGTTGAAACTTGGAATGCCCAGACTCAACATTTCTATGACTATCAGACAGTTTCCAGGAAAAACAAAAACATGTAGCTGATCTTGTCATATATAAATAAGTGCATATATTCAGGCCGAGGTAAGTTTAATTCTAGAATGAAGCTTTTCTCAAAGTTACTAGCTCAAACTGATATCGAGAGAAGATTGTCAGTCCCAGCCAATACTTTGTGTTTGTTTCCCTTCCTCAATGGAGATCATCGATATGCTGATTTGCAAGTTAAGGACACCAACGGAGAATTATGGACTTTTCGATGCATTTGCAGAGATGGGATTTATGCAAAGCCTGTTTTTTCTAAGGGATGGCTCGAATTTGTCTATGCCAAAAACCTCAAAATCTATGATAAAGTTGTTGTGTATAAGGATAAAGATTTGGAAGCTGCAGTTCCTTACAGAATTGAAGTGAGAAGGAAAATTATGAGGTTAATGGGTCAGGATATTTGGATTGAGGTAGAGCAATTACACCTATATGGTGTGGCTTAGATTATGTTACCAATTTGGTCGAAAATGTTTTGTTTTAGTTTCAATTTGCCTGTCTCAATTATTTAGGTCAACACTTGTCTTGTTGTCTACTGGTTTGCAATAATTAATTCGGTCGGATTATACTTCAATTCCGCTTTGGTTTATTTTTTTTGGTAAAAAAAGTAAAAAATATAAAAAACAAGAAATAAATAAAAAGGTGAATACCAAAAAATAATCAAACAAATCTTGAATTAATTTTATAACTTTTTTTATAACAAAAATTTGGTGAAGAAAAATCATTCATTCTAAGATCAAAAGTATACCGCAGATTTTATTAACTACTTATATTAAACTTACAAATTATCAATAAAAAAAAATTACAAACAGCAATTATCAAACCTAAATTTTATAAGTTAAATATTTCATCTTTATAATCTCAACTATAGAACCTCGTTTTATGATTTTATCTCTTTTTCATTGATGGGTAAAAGTCTAAATTTTTTACATATTTGATCTTTATTTTTAGTGAATTGATATAAAGGGTTTTTTAGATAGACTGATGATAACTAAAGGCTTCTTTGGTCAGAAAAATAAAATTTTATTCTTTAACCAAAGAGCAAAAAGAAAAAGAAAATCTGCTACAGAGTAACAAGAGAAACAAACATAAAACAATACTATATAAAATTATATTTATAAGTATAAAATCTATATAAAATTATATAAAATAAATTATTTATAAATATAGAATCTATATAAAATTATAATAAATTATATAATTTTAAATTTTAATTAATTAATTATACTACAAGGTAAACTAATCTTTCACGCGATCCCTTCGTCAGACAGGCTTTTGACATCATCGATATTTATGCGCCCACTGAAACAAATTTGTGTAAGAAACCTTTAAGAACGTAGAAAACATGCAGCAAGCAAGCAATTGCGTCGCAACCAAAACGTGGATGATGGCCTTTGATGCTAGGCCCACTTGTTTGGACTCAATGGATGAGACTGAAGCCCTTCATCTTGACCAATGGGAAGCTATAATTTAAAATTATATCAAATTTACATTTATAAATGATTAATTTTTATATAATTTTTTATTATAATAAAAAATTATAAATAAAATATTCTCGACTAAATAGAGATTTTTTTTGGATAAACTTAATTAGCTAGAACAATAATTTTTTACAAATTATTGGTTAATTTTAGAATAATCTATTTATTTGAATACGATTTATTTTTTTTATTGTATTTGAAAACATTTTTTTTCAAATAGAAGACAAGTGCATCAAATCTACAGTAACTTTTTTAAATTTTAAAGATAAATAAATTTTTTAATTTTTTAAATTAAAATAAAATATACTGTATCTGATAATTTAAAAAATAATAATTATAATTACGCATTCAAAATGATTCTAACAAAAAATTATCAATTAAATTAAAATCCAAAATCATTTGCATAAAAAAACGATTTTACTAATTGAATCAACCCTTTATTTATAAATCTATAGTAGTTTTCATTTAGATAATCTTCACCCTCCACCAAATAAGATAAACCCAGGTGAATATTTTTACCAATCATATTAGATATGTATCTTCCAAATGTCCACCAAAAGAATAAATCCTCAAGTCCACAGCTCAATTCCTATAGACCAATTAAAAGTTCTTGGTGTGTCCTCAGCCTTCTTGTTCCTAGCTAGTGTCAGGTTCTTGTCTTTGCTCCCAATTGGGCCGTCATTATCATTGAGTCAGAGTCTGTTTCAACATAGATTACACTAGACAAGAAGGGGAAGTTTGCAGAATCAAGGAGAGACCATATTGTTGATCCATCATTCACTTTTACCGCTGAAGAATCAACACAAGATGGTTTTTATGGTTGGAATATTGCAGCTGAAAAACATAAAGCGCCTATGGTAACTTGTCCTATAGTTTATGAAGTGAAAATAAAAGGAAAGGACTTGTATATGGGAAAGATATAATTTGAGCCATACCATGCTTGCAACAGTCATTGATGATAAATAAATCATTGGGGCATTGCAATAATCATAACTTGCAAGCCACTTGCATTGGTTGAAGAAATAAAAATTATTGATGGACAATACCTAAAGAACAGATTTCTGCAGGAAAAAAAAAAAAAATCCCATGCCATGTTGGGGTCCAAGGCCAAAATATAAAACAAAGAGGAAAACTACAGTCATTGTGGACTTTTTTTTTAATTTTTTTATACTACAAGACATTCAAGGCTAAAAGAAATTTAAAAAAGATTACCGGGAGTCCAACTAAATGAAGAGTTCAATACAATATAAATAAGACAATTGTTAGGGGTATTTTTAAGTCTAAAAAGTAAAATATTTTTTTTTCATTAAAAATTATAGATAAATAATTAAAAATATATTTTATTTTTAAATCAATTTGACATATTAAATCATTTAACATATACAATGATATGACAGTTTGATCATATCATTAATTTATCAAATAAATTTTTTATTTATATTTATAAATAAAATTATTCAGATATTATTTAATAATTTTGTTTTCTTTCATATTCTCTCTGTTTTTTTTATGATCAATTTTTGATTTAAACATTAAAATACAAACGTAAAAAATATTATTTTATTTTTACCCTTAACTACCTTCTCTCTTATGATTACATAATTTTATCCCCAGGCACAAACAGCAATGAAGCAAGCAAAAGTGCGTCTGCAGTCCATACCCAAATTATGCCAATTTAAAGCACAAAAGAGAATATACCAAAAAAAACAAATGAATCCAACAGGACCCAAGTCACCCAACCCCACACACCCAAAGAAATTTAAAAAAAAAAAAAAAGAAAGGGAAAGTAGAAATATGAATGGTTCAATCTTTTCGAATCAGTTTTTCCAGCAAGCAATTTTCAAGTGTTTTTCTCTTTTTCTTAATTTAATTGGAGTCTCATAGAGGAAAGACTAGATTATCCAAGCCATTCTTGAAACTTGGAAATGTATAGACCAAAATGGGTTCAATTTTGATGCAAAAACCTCAAATTTCTGCTCTTCAACTTCCCTACCAACTAAACAAGCCTTACCATTTCTTATTAACCAAACAAAACAACAAAACCTTTCATGCAAACAAGTCAACACCTTGCCAAAGCAACAAAAAAAGGGGAATAAAAAAGGAACAGAAAGTTTGCGGAAGTTGTAAACTTTCCCAGAGACCAAACAAACAGAGAGGAAAGTGGGAAGAAAGAGAAGTAGCTTCTTGTCTTGAAGAATGGAGATCGCCGCTAAATTGTAGAAGATGCAGGATTTCTTCTCAGGCAAAGATGGACCCACTGGCTGTGACATTGTTTTCTTTGGATTAGCTGGGATTTGTTTGAGCATCAGACAGACATTGATCAAGAATTTTTGCATTTCTTTGATACTTTCCATGCAATAAGATTTGTTTTTGGGGGGTTGCGAACTGCCTACTCCAAAACCTACCCTATCGTAGGGTTCAACCACAACTGAAGCCACAATCAGATACATTAAAATCTAGTGGGATTTGGGTACTTCACATTAATCTGTGTGGTACACTGGAACAATTTTTAGTACGTAGGATAAAGTTTGCTAAGTACGGCCAAGTAGAAAAGAAAAAGAAAAAAAAAAAACTAGTTATTAATAAGGAGGAGAGGGTGCAGGCAAAAAACACATACAAAAATCGCACTGGATGCTCTGCACATTTGAGATTTTATTGATTGATCTTCCCATGAGTCATGAACCTAGTTTAGAGCTGACAATTATACACCAAAAGAATGAACCATTGAATTTTCAAGCCATTTCTGTAAAATATTCTCATCAACTAAATACAGATTTGATGACTTTTTTTCTTTTGCTTTTTTCTTTCTTCTGGGTTTCAGTTTATAAAAAGATAGGATTTTATGAACTTGGATCAATGAACTTATGCTCAAGTATAAAAAATTAATGTTTTATGTAAAGTTGGTGCTCAATAACCTGTGAAAGAAAGGATTCAAATCAGTATCTATTACTGAATCAAGTTTTGGATTTGATTTTTGTGAACAATTCAACTTGAACTTTGTAAACCTTGTCCTTCTCTTCTGCTGTAATTCGTATAGAAAGTAGAAATGCAGAGGCTAACTCTTGTCTTTTCCGCATGTTTTGCAGATGAGTGGTTAGACGAGAGTCGAGAAGAGATCATATGGATTGAAACTTGTTCTACAAAAATTGAAAATTATAAGAGAACTTAAACCCCATATCATTATTGCTATTCTGATTGGCTTTTCCACTATCAACCCCTGCTCCTATGTTGAATTATAGGCAGTATAAAAAGAAACGCAATGAAAGTTTGCTCTCATTGTGTATGGTAAACATCTTTTAACATGCAAACGCATATCAATGACAACTATCGCTATTATGAGAAAAACAAGGGGCAATATATAAGACTACAGCATGAAAGCAGCAAGAGGAATTCAAGCCAAGCGGTGAACGAAAAATTCAAACCAATCAAATAGGACCATAACCAAGTCTAAGATCCATTTTCCAAATCCAATTCAACGTCGACTTCATTGGACAATCTATTTACAGACCTAGTCAAAGCCATAAAATTTTTGTATCCACTCTCCTAAGCAACTAAAAGTACCATTAAAGCTTATGGACATCAAAATGGCACAGCAGTAAAAATTTCTTACGAAGGACCCAGACAAGATACGTGTCATCAGAAAATAATGAGTTACTTAACGGAGTTTGACATTCCTGAAATTACCAGCCACTATACTCTAGCTGGTTTAACTCAGCTGGCATTTTTGTAGAACAAGTTTCAATCAATAGACTGGCGCATTAGTCCTGTGCTTTCCATTACACGAAATACAGTTACTTTGAGCACAAATTCCCTTGATCTGAGCAGCTCAAAGACACAGACATCTCCTTCCCCCAAATTATTCTCCAATGTAAATTCATACCATCCCTGACTGAACTTAGCTCTGCCTCTTCTATAAAGACATCGCACAGGCCACTGTTTTCCATCAGGAAGCTGAAGCTTAATCGATCCTGAAACCCCACTTAGATGTTTCTCAGCAAAGCAGGATGGTAAGTACTGCAAGAGAAAAAATTAAAATGTGCACTGAGGCGTGCTATAGGGTGAAACCAAAAAGACATGTACAGCACATCATATACGATGCTCACCATAATACATCCCCTGTATAGATATGATGGTCGCAAGACAACCCTGCAGAAAGGGTTAGTCGGCTCAAATGCTTTGGCTGCATTAATTGCCCTTTCTCTTTCTTCAGTTGTCACAGTTCTCTTTCTGGCTGAAGCACTTTCATAAAAACTAAAGTGCATTTCCACATCATCTTCATGTCCAACAGATGAATCCTGCTCATCTAAATTTCAGTGGACAACTGGTGACAAATTCCAAATCCTTCCATACCGCAAAACAAACAAATAACTCAGTTAAAAGGACTTACTAGGGTTACACTTCCGCTTTTTCCCCCCAGGCTTTTTTGGTTTTGGCATCTCTGCACCTGAAGAATGCAATTTCACTTCATTAGCAGAATTTTTTTAAGTTCAAATGCATTAAATGAAGAGCCATACCTCGAATAGGTTGATTATTCACCACCTTTGCTGTGTGAAGGTTGACTTCACGATTCCAGTTTATGCAGTTTTTAACTTTGGACCCACCAAATAAATTCTGCAGTGCTGGAGAGATGCATTCATCATCTTCAAGTTCTTCAAATGGATATTGTTTTCCATGATTGTATTGAGTACCACCGAAAGCATTAGAATGATAGTTTATTTCAGAGTTATACAAATTAAATATACTAACACTGAAAGCGGAATTTCCTTCATATCTGAAAACCAAAAAGTAGCAAACACGGATATAGTAGCGTTCCACAAATTCCTGCCAACCCTCCTGAAACCAAACCTTGTTGTCAGCTTTCTTTATTCCTACACGCCAAACATGACCATCAGGAACAGTGAGAGCAGCAGCAATAGAAAGTTCATCCCTGAACTTCTGAACAAAGTTATCAGGGATCCTCTGCAGACACCCCAAATAAAGTTAGGCATATTTATCTGATGAATATTTAAATTATTTTAGAGCATAATTTGCAGATCAACTTTCATAACATTGTGACATTAAACTTCATCTTAGCTGAATGAAACTACTACTCCATCCTCTTACCTAAAGTAATACTAGCATCCTAATGAGAAGTATGAATCATATCAAAGAAAAGAATATCCATCATCACGAATAAACAGGACATGTATAATCATAATTAAAAACCAAATCCATATATACTTTTCCTATGACCAAACAGAGAAAAAAAAGGTAAAAGATTGAAATCTAAATTCGGTGTAAATGATACAGATGAACTTTCTGGTCTTGTTCATAAAGCACCATTACGTACTAGCCATATCATTTGATGCCTATTTGATGAAACTCACTGGCAGTATAACCCAAAGAGAAATGTCAAAAAAAGAGATGGCGAAGTATGATGATAGGCAACAGACTCCCAATTTAAGTAATATAAGCCAAGATTACCATTTACAAGTTTATTTCTTTATCTGAAAGTTGTGTAAATAACAAAGCCATGTCTTATGGGATCCTTTCTAGAATATGTAAGATTCTAAATAGGTCCTGTTGCAATTCTAATTTTCTGGTTCTCCTACAAATCAAATGTATTAGAAACATGCATCTTTTTAAAACACCCCCCCCCCCCCAAAAAAAAAAAAAGAAGAGGGAATCAGCCCTAGGTCTTCTATTCAATCCAACAAAATCTGGGAAATAAAGAACTTTATTTTATTGTCATAGTTACACTAAACAATGCATACAGGAAGCAGATCAGTCCAAATGTGAAAATTAATAAGCTTTCACTCACATGCACGGAGATCATGGGAAGGTTAATAAAAATGTTACATATAAAATTAATTAAAATTACACAATTCAACTTTTTTTTTATCTAAGAAAATGTATAAAAATGAATCATCACAACACCTTAAATAAGTGAAAATTTTGAGCCAAAAAAAGTAATAACCATTCAGCAACAAGCATTTCACTCCATTTGGTTACAAGTGTTTCAAGACAGAGTATTTCCTGCAAAATTGAACCTGGACAAGTAGATTTCTGTCTTCAACTATAATACTAACACACTCAGATATCTCAATAGGATTACTAAAATGAAGCAAAATATAGCATGCAACTTTAATTGATTTCAAAAGTATTTCCGCAGCTTCAATATGCCACCTTTCTGAAAAAAAAGACTTCACATGAAAATTAAGATCTTGTGTTTCTTCCATTTCCTTCAACTTTACCCAGTTCATCCACTAGCCAAACAAACTTTTAGGATTACTTACTCAAAATCATATCAAACGAACTTCCAAAACCTTAAACTATCTTTTCAAATCTCCTTAGTCTTCCTCCAATTCCATCAACCAAACAAACTCTAGCAAGTCTCAACATTCAAATTTCATCCCAAGTCTCAAAAGCACACTTCAACCCACAAACAAAGGAAAAGGAAAAGAATCCACAAACCCAAAATGAAAAAACACATAACAAAAAAAAACCCATAATTTATTTCCTTCATCCTCTAATTTTCCAAGGCCAAAACTTTGCCCATAAGCAACAAATAAAAGCATGAACAGAAGAAGAAGAAGAAGAAGAAAGTGGGATTTTAGTGATTTACCAGTTTCTTGTCTAGAAGGGTAGAGGAGAGAATAAGCTTATGGAAAAAAGGGCGTGGCATTTTGGAAAAATGATCAGATCATATAATGATACTGAGTTTGAGGGAGAGTTGAGTTTTCAAGGTATATGTTTAATGTATGTATGTATCTATATCTACTCTTTATCTATCTATTTATCTATATATATCACTCTCACTGAATAAACTGATAAGACTTTTGTTGAGTGCTTAGGGATAGAAAGGAAGAGAAGAAACACTCAAAAGAGAGACAGAGAAAGAGCTTTCAGATCTGGGTGTCCTCTCCCTCTGCTTCCCCACTACGTTTTTTCTTCCAGTCAAAGACTGCTTTTAAAGCTTAAAAAATAAAAAGAATAAAAAAAACTCAACTTGATCTAAAGATTGAACCGAGTTTGTATCACACTCTCTACTCACTCACTCATTGAGTTCTTTTTCGCCAGCTTAAACTCAGGTACTCTGCGTGTGTCCCGCCAACTCCCCCCTTGTTTTCTAGTAGTAATTTTTTATTTTCTTTTCTTTTTTGTGCTGACCCACCAACTCACCAACAGCTAAAGTTAGTAGACGTTTGCAAAAATTTTAAAGCATAGCTCAATTTTAAGCATTTTTTTATGCCAATCCTTCGATAAAATAAAATTAATACTAGTTTTTAAGTATAAACTCGAGATTTAATTTATTTAATTTATATAATAATTTTTAAAAAATTATATTTAATAAATTTAAAATTCAAAATTTATCATTTAAAACTTATTTTTTTATTTTTAAATTATATTTTTTATAAAAAAAAATTATGTTTAGTTTGAAAATTGTAATGAAAGCATATTTTTAATCTACTTCTACCACATATATAAAATAAAATTAGGATTTGACAAAAAATTTAATAATGGTAATTATGTAGAATGCAACTTCAATGATATCCAAAGTTTTGATAATGATTAAATAATTTATTAATTTTATATTTGATATATTATTAGTGTATAAATTTTATAAATTATCGATAAATCAAATCATTTCATTTCATTAAAGAGTAAATAATAATCCATAAAATAAATATATAAAAATTTAATTTTTTTTAAAAAATTTACTTATTAATGAGATGATATCATCTGATTTATTTTATTATTAAAGTAATATGATCTGATTCATTGACAGTTTATAAAATCTATACATTAACCGTATTTTAAATATAAATTTATAATATAAAATTTATACACTAACTGTATATCAAGATTGAAAAAGATAGGCATTTATATTATACTAATACTACAAATTAACAAAAGAAAAATCAATCAAACAAAAAGTACTATTTTTTAGTAAGAAAATTGTTAAAAACAAATAAAAACCCATCAATTACCCAAAATTTTAAAGAGAAATATGATTTTTACTTGCTTTTTTAATTTTTTTTATATACCTAATTTTTCTTATATGAAAGAGAGAATTAAGATTTAATTTTGAAATTAAACAAGCCAAATTATTTCTAACTTTAAAAAAAATTTGTGTTGTTGAAGATTAAGTTTTTCTAAAACAGAAAAAAAATTGTTAAAAGAAAATTCATCATGGATTTGAAGAGATCATAATCAGTAAACAAAAACAAGGGTGAGTTTGGTTGAACTCATTCTGGTGACTGGGTTGAGTTGAGTCAGCAAAGATAGGAAGGGAGGAGCATTGAGTCAGAGGTCTTCGGACACGCATCAAGTCAGGGGTAATGGCAGCAAATGAAGTAATGCAAGAAGCCACCTTTTTTCTTTTTTACAAAACTTTTGAATAAATCTAACACAAAATTACATCAAACACCAATCAAATAATTTGTTCATCATGGTTTTTCTGCTCTTCCAAATCAAACCCTTTTTTTTTCTCTTTTGTTTAGCCATTTGGATAATTCATAATTGGTTTCATATCATTTGGGTTGATTTCTTCATCATATGCTATTTACTTTGATGTAAATATGTAACATTTTGTCATAAACCAGTTAATATTTGTCAAATAAAATAAAGAACAATAATTAAGCTGAGAAAATGACCAATTGATTTGTTGGTCCCCAGCTTCTGTTTATGATAATGATGGCATTAATTTTGCTTTTGAAAAGTGATGTTAATGGAAATAAAAATACCAACAAGAGTGGTCATAACCCATGGAAAAAAAAATGTTGATTTGAAATTAAAATTTTTTTTAAGAGTTTTTTAATCATTAAGCCCAAAATTTGAGGATAATTTGTATAAAAAAATACCAACAGGAGTGGTTAATATGAGCTATCAATTTGTATGCATAGGTTTTCCTCAATAATTTTATATTTTGCTATATATATATATCATATATTATGAAAAGAAAATTTATTTCATGGAATCAATGATAACATGTAATTTGGGTAAAGCCATCAATAATTTGGGGCTAAGAAAAGGGAATATTTGCTTTTTATTCATAACAATAATGATCTTGATACAGGGCAATTAGAACAAACTATTAAAGTTTGTTTGAAAAAAAAAAAAACTCGAAACTTAATTCTATGTAATTATTCTAAGAGATGGCATGAAGCAAATAAAGATATTTTTTCATAAGTAAAAGATGTTTGACAGTTGCATAGCTGCAATCATGCATGCAGAGATGATTTTATGTCATGAGTCGAGATTTAATAGTTAGACTTACGTAACTTTAAGATCTAGATATAGATTCATTTAGTATTTTAGATTATTTTAATTATTATGATTTTTATTTTTATAAAATATTATCTGCTTTAATCTTCTCTTGACCTTATGATAATTTTTATGATTTATATCTTTGTAAGGTATTATCTGTTTCGACCTTTTTTTAGTCTCATAATTTTATCTCAAAAAAAATATCTTATAAAAAAAAAGTAATGTGAATCCTTGTATCTCATGACCACAGTTCACATTCTTATGAGGTATTGTTCGCTTTGATCCCCTCTTAACTTCACGATTTTATCCTACAAAAAACATCACACAAATAAAAATTGATGTGAACCTTTATATCCCATAACTAACTTTAGTGCATAATTAATTTGAGATTCTTGATTTTATCGTAGACTCGTGATACTTCTGAATTTTTATATTTTATTATCAATTTTAGTATATAATCAATATAAATTTTTTGACTACACCCTGTGACCGTAACATTCGAACATAAATTTCACATTTTGGAGTTCAAAATTCCAATCATATTAGCTAAAATTAATTAGAATTAAAGAGACAAAATAAGGGGATTCAGTCACAGTAGAGGTTAATCAAACTTCTATAATTAGTTTTGACTTACATCTTCTCGGATGATAAAATATGGACTCTGATTTCTTGAGGTGTCACAATCCATGCCCACCCGTGGAGAAAACCTTATTGATTTGTTTATTTGAAGTTACAATTTTAATCGTCAAAATTAAAAATTAAACATTCTAACGACAGACAACACAACACAACAGTGATGGTTGACGAAACTTTGTTGATTTCACTGTATGTTAAAGTCATCTTCGAAGGTTTCTGTTCTTGAAACGCGGGAACTTGGAGGTGAAATCCTCAGCCACTTTACAAAGCTTTGCTTTACTTTTACCACCTGTTCGACGCTGCTGCCTAGAAGAAGAGCCTGGGGTTTTTTTTTTCCTCTTGATTTTCTCCTACCATTCCTTCTAGTTTGAACTTGTGGTTCCGTCTCCCATATCTCAGTAATGTCCATTTCTTCTTCCTTAATTTCCATTGCCGAGTCTTGGTGATTGAAACATTCTTACTCTCGCAATGAACGAGGCTCAATATTTGTAGTTGCAGGCAGGCTCCCAATGTGTAAGATAATAATGGCAGAAAAGGATCAATCTATTTTCTTTGGGTTAAAAAGGAACTCCATTAAGGAGAAAAATTAAACTGAAACATCAGATTGGGAACGGGTCCCAATAGATTGAGTTGTTCAAGATATATGTAAGCGATTAATGAATCCAATTTCTTCAAATTTTTGAACTTTTGAGTGTTATGACTATTTCAGAACAGCTTATGCTTATATAGTTCTTTGCCAATAACCTCTTTTTTTTTTTTTAGGTCCACGCAAAAAGTAAACTAAAAATATAACAAAGACAGTGTTGATGTCGAGCTTCGTTGTGAGAGTGTTTTTGAAAAGACAGAAAAGAAGAAAGCAAATTAAAAATAAGATATAAAATATTTTTTGTGTTTACACTCTAACACATAAATAAAAAAATTAAATATTAAAATTAAAATTAATTTACTCGATTTATAAAAAAGAGATAAGAACCTAACGGAAGACAATAATAACATAATCGAATTAATGTGACATTAAACATATCAAATTGATTTTACATATAAATCAACATAAATATTCAAACTACCCATAATTATTTGTCAAAAGCTTTTAATAAGAGAAAAAATCAATATATCTTTTTAACTATTAAATATTTTAAATAGACAGCATTCTTGATATGTGCAAATGAGATTAAAAGCAAACAAAAATAGTAAAAAAAAAAATGAAAACATATTCAAATAAATCATAGACCAACTAAATTTCTTGTCCATTTTTCACTAAGAAAAAATCATATTAGCCAAAAAAAAAAAAAGAAATTATACACGTTGAATTAATTAATTAATTAATATTTGATTTGGCTTTTGTTTCATTTTTCATGCCCAACCAACAGCTAACCGTTTCTGGGACAAAGATCCAACTGGCCTGCCGAATCGTTTGGCTTGTCCTAGGTTTCTTCCCATGAATATCAAAGGCCCCATCAATTGTCTCATCCATATTACACCAAAACAAGCACAATCTATTAAACTTTTTTCTAAATATTTTATTTATCCAATAATAATAGAATTCTGGTACAGTACTATAAATATTCTAATACTTTGAATCACGTTTACAATTATTTTCTACAATTCAAGCTATGAACCTTTACTATTTATATTACATTTCGTATATTAATATTTACTCCCTTTGTTTTTTTTTTTTGTTCATTTTTTTTAGGATGTTTCAAAATTATAAGTTATTTTTTTAACATCTAAAATTCTTTTTTTATATTTTAAAATTATATTTTAATTTTTTTACATTAAAAATTATGAAATTTTAATTTTATAAAAAAATTTAATTTTTAATATTAAATACGTTAAAATTATTTTTTTTTAATTTCATAAAAGTCAATACATTATAAAAATTTTGAAATGGAGGAAATATATTCTAAACAGCGCATGATTCCTTGTTCATCTGTTCAGCAGCCATGGAATGCTGGCCATCTTGTCGGTTTTTGAAAGCTTCCTTGACCCAACCAATCAGTTGCTCCATAATCTCTTCGTCCTTCCTATACAATCTGCAATTCCTTTTTCTTCATATCTAATAGATGCAGGCCTTTTGTTATGGTCCTAGAAAGAAATTATGAATCTCACATCGACTATGTAATAGAGTTGATTTTGAAATATAAGAGTTCACATCCTTTCAACTTGTGAAATGACTTTCGTGAGACAAAATCGTGAAACCAACAAATCAGAATGAATATTATCTCTCACAAGTTAGTGTGGACCGTGATATTTGGTATCAGAATTAGCTGTGAAGATACTAGCGATATGCTACCGAAAACGGTGAGCCTTCATTTAAGTAGAGAAGGATGTCATAATTTTAAAGAGGAACCATAAATCCCACATCAATTATGTACTAGAGTTAATCTTGGGATATAAGAGTTTACAGCCCTTCAACTTGTGAGATAATTTTTGTAGGACAAAATCGATCGAGATCAATGCTTTCCCTCATCCCACAACTGCCCATTGTAATTCTGCATCCCAGTCCCCCACTCTTCTAATCCTGCATTTCTGTAATATTCCTTGGCCTACAAATTTTTTAAACCCTTCATCCAACTCCATTCCCCATGCTTTCAATCTGTCCCTTAGTGGCAGCAGATTTAGAATAGTCATCCATGCAATTAGGGAGTGTTTTGGTCGATGGTACTGGAACCAAATAAGCTTATGCCACTCAACCTTTCTCTGCCTAGGCCTCAATCCATTCCACTCCATTGCTACTGAGTAACAAATCTCAGGAAACAGCCACATCACTGTACCATTATCCTGTTTTATGAACTGTCGAGCAATGTGCTTAAGCTGAAGCAACTTCCTCCAACTCCAGCTATTACCTTGCTGTGGCGAGACCTGCCATATGCTCCTCCCTTTCAACACATCTCTCTTTTTCTTTCTAATTCACAATATTAAAAAAAAAAATTATTACATTTGAGTTTTAAGACCATCTTTAGCGCCTTTGAAAAACATATTCAGTTTTATACATACATTCTGGTATGCTTTTGGATTCTGGTCTTTGGTTCTTTGTAAATTCTTCCTTCATTAGCTGGAACATAAATTCTATAGTTTTTGAATCATTAATTTATTTGACTTTTTATTATTTTCATTGTAAGTTTGGTTAATTTATATAGATTTGGTCTGACATTTGACGACCCTCTTGTGTTTATTAAATTGCTAGTGCAAGAACAGTGGGAAGTAGTTACAGTTTTTAACCCTTTTGCTGCTTGTTCATACTCGATCATAATCTAGTTTCCTTATGAGAAAAATTACAACGCACTTCAATGAAAATGTTAATCTAAAATATGTGTGAAAAAAATTCAGCTTGCAGCTGTTGGATCCATGGTAGTCAGGTCAGGTCGTTCCCAGTAATGGTTGCCGATGACCAAAACACCATAACTAGTTTAACTTTGGTAAGCTCATTAAATATTGATCTGCTGGGATCACAACAATGAGTTTGTATTTTGTTGTTCCAAAGGTTCTAGAATTCCATGAAGGTACTCTTCAAATTTACACTGGATAAGTTTTGGTTGTGATTCATGTCCTGGGGAGTCCGCTTTTTGCCTCAACAAACAAGACTATGCAATACCAACCCAAATTACAGTTAACATTTTCTGGTACAGACAAGAACCTTGAAGCACTTACTTCATGGTATGAAGTGAACAACCTCTGCCAGTACTCTACATGGCCTATGCTCAGATCTGCCTGATTCTATTACTGGTTCTGTTCCTCCCCCCCCCCCCCCCCCCCCCCCCACCCCCAATACCAACCTTTTCTAAGCCTATCTATTGGTTTACTCCACAGCAGAGTATGCATGATGTGTACGGCCTTAATTTATACTTGTATGTAGAACTTGAAAGCTATAGGCCTAGTTAATTATCTGTTCAATTCAATATATATAGGTCGCTTTGGACGAGAAAGTGATACAGATTTGACTGTTGTGAATCATGCACAGAATGGTTTCAAAGAATATTGGAGGTTTCATGCTACCAAAAAAGTGAAAAACTCTTACAATGGAAGTAGATGACATCAATTATGCTGGAAAAAATTCAGTACCAAACGGATCAAGTTCCTGTTTGTTTACAGACATCTAGCAAGTAAATTTTATCACCCATTCTTGAAATCAAATTAATTTATTCAGCTATAGTTTGTTACCTGTAATAGTAGATAAGACAAAACAAAATTTTCTTTAAACAAGTTTCAGATCTTTAATTTGTTTTGCTGCTTGAAGCTAAGCCAACAACTATCTAAAGATGAAGACACTGCTTAAGGTTGAAAAGTTCAGGATTTATAGGAGTTCCACCTTTCCAAAAAAGTCATATGGTTATACAATCTAACAGAAATTGGGATTGCTGACAATCTTTAGGACTGATAAACTGTAATACCATGGCCATCACATTGTAGTCGAAAAACTTTTCTTGAAACCACAAGGTACAAAGGAAACGTGCATACACAAAATTGTTATCAGCAAAATGGGCAAACCTCCTAAAACCTTTTCTCACAAAAGAAACCACTACTCTCAAAAGAAAGAAAGCTCCCAATCTTCACAGCGATTCATACTCTAGCTTGATTAAAATTCTATTCTGTTCATCATGCTTCCCTCTAGTTTTACCTGTCATCAGTATCAACACTATCATTATCGTTATTGCAATCTAAGCCCTGCACTTCCTTTTCCTCGTCTTGCTCTGCCATCTTCACATGCCTCACCTAAAGTCCTTGTGGATCCATCAAGTCCTTATCAATATCTTTAGCTTCATTCAGCAAAGAATGTGGCGATCCTGCTCCTGCTGAGGTTCTGCAGAAACCAAACTTTCCATGTTCACTTGACCACGATAAGTTTGGATGAGGTAATGGGCAACAGACTTAAAACCCAGTCTTTTACCTGAAACATCATCACAATTCACAAGTTGGTAAGAAAACTACACACATTCCTCCATATGACATCTTTTTTTTGGCTTTATTAGCCCTTCAGAATACTAACCTTCAGACGACAGAGCACATAATCTAAACAAAGGAACAAAGTTTCAATGTGTTATAGACAACCTTTCTGTAGATAGCACCAGTTGGTCTCCACCCCTTTTCTTGGCGGCAAAGACTGCAATTGCAAATCCCACGACAAACAGGACAAATCCAATTGTGATTTTGGTTCGCTTCAATCACATTCTCCCCATACCTGTAAAAACAGACCCAAATTTGATTATATTTTGAGGAAATAAACAGTACTAGTAAAATGGTAGAAAAATAAAACAATTACCTCGTGTATAAGCAATCTCCACAAAGTTGGCCTTGGACCAACTTACATTTGCTGCAATGTGTACGGTGGCCGAGAGTTTTCTGTCTGCAAAAATGGAACAGGGCATTTTTACAAATAGAGGAAAGGGGGTGAAAATGGAAAAAAATATGAATTGGATTACCTGCATTGATGACATGTTTCTCCTTTGACAGGATCATATATGCGTTTCCCATCATTTCCATAGCCATCCACAAGCAGAGTCCAACTCATTTCACAATCACCCAAAAGCATTTCGTGTTCTTCGGTATATATCTCCGGTTTCGGACCTTCTTCTAAGTGAATCTCAACCTCATCGTTTTCTGGAAACTTGGGTTTACGGTTTTCTACATAGCTGACGGGAGCCAATGTCTTCAACCTGAATTCCATTTAAAACAACAAATAATTTAATTTAATTTTTTTTTTAAAAAAAAAAAAAACTTAAAACAGGAAAACAGAAAAAGAAGAAGAGGCACCTAGAAGAGCGTCTGGTGGGCTGGGAAACGGGAAGAGAATTGTGGGCTTTGTCGTCAGAAGAAGGAAGGTTTCTTGGGATCTTTTGGGGAGGAGGCTTGGGCTTGAGTTTTAGGGAGAGGTCCAAAATGCCAAGCTTCTGCATTCTCCCCTTGTTCTCTTTGATCCTTTGCTCTCTCCACTTCTCGTACTCTTCTCCTTTTCCTTTCTCTGCGATCCTCCTTCTCTTCCGTCCCATTGCTCTTCACTCTCGCCTCTGACCTGAGAGATGCCTATAATGGTGGTGACTTGGTGGAATGGGAACGAGAAACGAAGAGACATTTATTCGAGTGGCGCAAGCGCAACACCTATAAGGGAGCTACACGTAACGCTGGATGAAGTGAAAGTTTTTTTTAAAAAATCCCAATAAATTGTAGAACGCGGGAAAATGAAATGAAAACCGGCAATAGATTTTCCCTTTTATTGGGGTTCAGATCAGAAGCCTTCAGTTTTTTTTTCTAAAATCAAGTACGTGGATTTTCAGAACTTATGTTTGGGCTCTAATGAACTGACTTACTAAGTCCATTTAAATTCATTGAAAATTAAGTTTACTATTAAAAACATTTTATACTAATATTTTAAATTTTAAATTAAAATTACATTAAAAATAATATTTATTAGTATATTAATGCTCTCTCAAATTCCTTCAAAAAAATTTCCCTTTAAATTTTGTATGAACCAATCAAAGCATTCCCCAAATAGCACATATCCTGAGCGTTCAAAGTTTAAACAATAAAAAACAAACTTTCACCTTAAGAGAATTAGAAAAGACTTAAAATTCCAAAACCGCTCGTCATGATTAAGAATGAATAACGAATCTCACTGACTCTGTTTCTTAATGTCCCAATATAAATCAACACAAAATTCCTACCGAATGGCTGGCTGCTATTAGAGTAAGCAAAAGGATAAACAAGAATTGATTTCTATACAAACTAAGGGTCCATTTGAAAGCCCGATTAAGTCCAGCCATAAAACGAACCCGTAGTGTGATAGGAACACTCTAATCGGACTCCCAAATGGACTGTAAATCTACATTCCTGTACATTTAGAATGTGAAAAGAAGACAACCTATTTCCTAAATCCCAAATAAAAGATTCCATATAGCGAATATCACAGGCAAAGTCACCAAGATAAATGATACTTGATGACTTACATTGGCTTCAGATACCTCCAAGCAATTTCCTTTTTCAAAGATCATTGAAACAAATCCGCTTTCTTAGCAGAACCAGAAATCACAACTTCCTAGACAACTTTGGTATGTTTCTTGGCATGAAGATCCGTCACAAGACCCCGCAGTTCAGGGAAAACTGATATGAGTAGAAGTTCTAAAATAGCAAAAGCAAGTTGCTTCACACATATAGTAGACTGCAATGGATAATGATACATAAATACAATCAGAAAGTTAAAACTATTGAAAACAAAAAGAAAGAAAGAGAAAAATATCAATGCTATAGACTCATAGTACATGCGACAGAAGAATAAAACAAAACCTGAGTGAAATAATAAATGTCTCTTGCACACCGTCTGTATTGCTTATGCCCGATCAAGCTAACTAAGGTTGTTGGAGCTCCGTCTGATAAAAAGGTCAATCTTTTAGTGAATTTCACCATTAATGAAGTCCTAGCTCCATGGAAAATACATATATATATATATATATATATATATACACACACACAAATAAATTGATCATGAACTATTTTAATAATAAACTTGTTCAATGATTTCACAACATAAACTGTCTTGATAAACAAAAAAAAGGACTTCAGAAATTTTAATTAGAAATGTAATCATTGAAGCAATGATCAAATGAATTACAAGCATGTAAATCACAGATCCAAAAGTCATGGCAGATCTTCAATCTGATCTGATAATTACAAGATATCATTAACACAACATACTTACCAAAAAGCATTTTTTTTATGTCACTTGCTCTACGAGTAGCCTCAAGTTGTTGCTCAAAGGACCCAGGTTTAGTGGTATTACTCCCACAAAATTGGCTGAAGTTCTGAGAAGTTGTCTGGTTAGGATGAGTATTATCAAATTTGCTCTGAATGTTCCCTATTTTTGTAAAGAATGTACCACCTGGCCACAGAATCTGGGAGAAAAAAGAGGAAACAATTAGAAGAAACAGAGCACTTGTGCATGGCTCTTCAAGAATCTTTTGACTAGGTAACTACTGAAAGTGGCTCATTGATCTCAAGATTGGGCTATAGCTGACAGCTGAGCCTCAACCTGTCACAGCTCTCATTCAGAGACTAATTTCAGGTTAAAGACTGATCTTTAGCCCAATCCAATTCATTTCTTTATGAAACAAAAAGCCATCTAAAAGTTTATATGCCAGTAGCAGCAGCCCTTGATGACAAAACTCATACTTTTACAGCACCAGATGCAGTGCCAGTTAACAATCCAAGTTAAATTACAATGTTTCTAATGTGTTCAGCCCTTACATCTTGAACCCATCGAATCCCTTGGGCAACAGTGTCCTCCCTCCGAAGCCAATAAATCTGCCCCAAAAGCCAGTCATCAATGGCATCCTCCATCACTAGCTGTAATATTTGCTTAGATATCCAAAAGACCTGTCTTCTGCATAAATAAAAACATGCACATGTTTATGCCAAATTATTCTGGAAATAAGTCATTTTAGAACACCATAACATGCCATTAAAGTTTAACAGGATCAAACAGTCTGAAAAACCAGACAGTTGCCAGCTAAAAGGAAACAAGAAAAAGGCTTGAAGCAGTAATTGATCACTCAGACTACCATGCCATATTCTAATTCCTCTAAACCCATGCTAGGTTAGTATTTCTTCATGCAACCTTTTTCAGAACTTTGAACACAGTAGCCACTAGCCACAAAACTACCTGTCATAAAAGATTGAACAACAGAGATAATTTTTGCTAGTCCCAAAATAGGTAATCAACTCACCATATCAACCACTCAATGCTACAAAGCAGCAATTAAACTACTTGAATATATGACCAAATATGCCCTTTAATAATCAACATAGATTAAAGCGACTACATAATTTACTAATTAATCAAAACAACAGGTAAACAAATGTTAGTAACATCAAAGTACAAGGTACAATATTATTTTAGGAGAATCTTTCCAAATTATAATTACTGAATGGTAGAATACAACATTTTAGCAATTAATTAATTCACAATTATGGAAATAAGGCAAAATCAGTTCACCTTAGCCAGCCTCTTCTCTTAAGCTGAAACACCTTATCAACTAGATTCAGCAAAGGTACGCTCACATTAGGTGGTGTCCACTGCACAAATATCAATTACTAAACATTAAAAAATTCCAAAAATAGAAAAAGAATGCTCTTCCTAAAATGGAGTAAGCTAACTAAACTGAAAGTATTCAATCAAAAGATCATTAATAATAGGGATGGTCACAGCCAGACAGATACCAAAGAAAAAGGCTGCAACGGCTAGAGAATACGTGCAACCAACCAAGAAAACTGATTTCCTAATAATGATGCTCACTTTTGGTTGAGATTCTTAAGAATGCAATCCCAAATTTTATTGACAAATTTGCAAAGTTGTCACTTTAGAAGAGTGTGCTCACAATAAAACATAGAGTAAGTATTGGTTGAAAGACGAACAATGCCTTCTAAAATACACTAAAATCTTATTAGCAAAAGGAACTAGAATACAGAGCTAGAAGCATAATACCTCAGGGGGCATTCCAACTGGATCCTCCAAATGGCTGGAGGTTGCTGAAACTTTTACTGCAGGAAATCCACCCTGGCCAACCAATTCAGATTTCACAGCCAAATTATTTTTCTCAGAAACTAAATTACCAGACTGTCCACCACACTCTATCACCCGTGGTAGCAAACTCTTTGAGTTCAATTCATTGTCTGAATGCCAACCATGACCTTGTGAACCAGATCTATCATCCTCATGACCATCGCCACCATCTTTGTCACCTTCTTCATTATCAGAAGCACTGTTTAGAATTTCTAAGTTACTTTGCCTTGAAATGTCTTTAGCCATCTCATCTGCATTCCACGACAAGGTCCTGCCAGTGACTGAAGAAGAGGCTTCACTAGGGGGAGAAGATGAACCAACAACTTTGCGCATTAAGCCATCTGATACTCCTTTAAATTGGCGTACAATATCATCCACAGCATCATCCACATTGACTTTTCATAAACAAGAGAATTGGAAAACGTGAGGAAGTAATCTGAAATAAAAATGGTCATTATATGCAAGAAATAAGCCAAGTTAAAACCAATTCCTAAACCACAGTGTTACAATAAAACCAATAACCAAAAGATCCTGTGATTCTAAGCAAATTGGACACAGGATATGATCCTTCACCATTTATAGCTCTAGGATAACAGGCCATAAGACAACTAAGTTGACATGACAGACCTCTTTCCAAATTGACAAAATAAGCCAGAGAAAAAGGATGGAAATAATCCAACTGTGAGGCATTCCACAAAATAAGATCATAGCAAAAGAAAAAGGTCAGCGTAATCAAATGTACTGAAAACAATGTAACTAAAAAAGGATGATGAAGGATTTATAAGAAATCAGGAGATCAAAGAATTTTAAGCAAGTAACAAGATCTGTAAATCTCTCAAAGCTGATATAGGTGTAAAAGGTGAACCAATCATAAAGCTAAACCTCATCTACCAGACAACTGTAATGACGGATGGAAAGGTAATGCACATGATTGCATTCCTAAACATGTATATGTCCACTTGGAGCATTTCTAGACCCTTTTTATTTTTCATGAAGATTTTGATGTGTTGAAGTAGTACAACCAAAATGTGCAACATAATCTTATGTTGGCAGCAGCTGACAGCTGGAGCCCAAATGCATAAACAGCAAGCATGGCATAATAACCAAGAACAGAAACAACATACCTGCAAGGGTTCTCATCACTGATGAAGATTTTCCAAAAGAGTAATTCTTCAAAAGCAAAAGACAATCACAAGAAGAATCAGATGTCATTCATCTTACCCATCAAAAATAAAGTAGCAGCCAATGTCAAGAAGATACACACCTTTGAGGAAACACTTAAAAAATCCCACACTTCATGTTGTTCTGCCACATTGGCTATAGACAATAGATCCTGCAAAAAGGTAGCTTAGTTGGAGCAACAAGTTTTAAAAATGTAACATCCTACAAAAAAGAAAGACTAGGAAGTAAATTACTTGCAGATATTTGTCGAGCTGAATGCAGCGTTGATGAACAAAAGCGTCCTCAGTGCTTGATGAAAATATCCTTTTGGGAGGCAAATGTAAAGTATAATTAGGAATTTCTTTAAGATGCCGATGCAACCGTTCAAAATTACTGTATCTGCAGATTAAGGAAAAAGAAGAAAATAAATCAAAATTTCAGAGCTTTCAAAATTCATAGTGGTTTGAACTTTTAAGACTATAAAATATCAGAGGGACATCCAACTAAGTAAAGGCCCTAAAACAAATGGCTTTTTAAAAAAAAAAAAATGGATGAGATAGAACCTTCTCTTGACAAACCAAGTTCTGTTTTCCACATCTGTCACAGCAATTGAATAAACTGCAAACGATTTTGATCCAAGTTTCTCAAAGTATGCTCCAATAACCTGTAGAAGACAGGGAAATCAAATCCAATTACAGATCATAGAAAATGTCTATGACAACAATTCAACGCCACCAAGCTCAAGAAGCTGTTTTAATCTATATCCCATGTCACATATGCATTCAGCTGGTAGTTCATATTTCAATTGGCACAACTTGCAGCAATATTGACAGGAATGCTCACCCGGCACCTAAGCTTGGGAATATGTGGCCCCTCATTGCGAAGTACTGTATTTGAGGCAATCTTACTGCTATAGTCTTCACTATGCATGCCAAAATCAGGGCTGTAGAACTCTAACATAATAGGCCCTCGAACATCTCCTGTAAGTGCCTTCTTTATATCAGGTTCAACTTTCAAATCGGAGGTACTACTGGATCTCTTAAGCCTACTTTTATTTCCATCAGCAGCTTGCTCACTTGCAACATTAAATTTGTTAACAAGCTGATCTCCTTCAAATGATGATGACTTGTTAAACTCTGAAGCTAACTTTGTGCCTGTCGTGTTTCCATCAAATAATTGAGTGTCAAGACTTAAACCAGGCATTAACCGCATCACATTTTTCTCTTCCCTTCCTGTAGAAGTTCCAATCTTGTTGGAAGAGATTTCACTTCCAGATATCCCCATCAATACAGCACTCTTTGTCGCAGAACCCTTTGGAATAGATTCTTGAAATCCTGCTTTTACATATTTGTTCTCCTTCTTTTTGTAGTTTCTTCCTTTTGTCCACATGTTTTCAAGATTTTCAGGAGCAAGAACTTCAGTTCTTCTCTGGGTTGCTGCCTCTAATATTCGAGCCCAATCAGCTGGTCGAGGCTGCATTGATTCGTCCTCATATCTGTTACAATCTGAATATGTTTCTTTCAGATCGTCCATTCTAGCCAAAGTCAAATCAGCTCCTTGACTATTTAAGGATGAAATTTTGCATGTGGTAGAATCATCACCATGTACTCCCACTGAAGACTGATCAAAACCTGCCACCACCTTATTCATTTCATCTTTAATGACAAGTAGAACATATTCAATCACTTCATTGATATACCTGACAACAAAACATAGGGCGAAAAAAGGTAGAATAAGGCAAGGACAAAAGCGTACACCCAGGAAAAATGAAGTACTTGTATGTTCATCATGAATAACCTTTTAAACATGCTCCACCTATTTTTTACCCACATTGCTCAAGAGAAGGATTCTAATCAAGAAACCACTCCGTACAAATGTCATTCCATGTAGCATGGCCTGTATTCTACTCATTCCACTCTTTTTAAGAACCAAATAAACACTAAATAAGAATGCATTTCCAAATCAAGCACCAAAATTCTTAACCTATAAGTTTAGGCTAACTCAACTAAACGAAACTGTAATTTTAAATGTACTAATTAGGTTTTTTGCTATCTTAAAATTAAACAAACAAGAAATAATCGCTCAATAACTTACCCAGGGCTTGCCAAATTCAAAAGAGGTTGCACTACCAAGCAAGTTACAATCTCACGAGCGATTGTTCGAACCAAAGGACATTGAGCTTCTCGTGGTCTCAATACTACTGCTAAAACTCCACCAATAAGCCGCTGAATAACCTGAAAAAAAAAAAAAGAGTACAAGGAATTAAAGTTATTAAACAAAAGTAAACCATAAAATGCAAAATGTGTTTTCATCAGAACACTCCACTCACACCTTGTACTCACTCTCTGGTGAAACCAATGCAGGATGAAGCTCTTCAGAAACCATAAGATGGTGTTTCAATCTTTCATCCCTCTCCTCAGATGACAATGTTACCATAACATCAATACCTATTGCAGCTTGGCTTCTTCTAAAAAGATCCAAGTGATCTCCTATCAAATCAACTATATCCCTGAAACATTAGACAACCATTTGAAATCCTTGAGCTTTAAAAACATCAAATACTTTTACAGTTGACAAACCTTCTCAAACCAAAAACCTACCTTGTTAGCAAATCAACAAGGTTTATCTCTTTCACCCTTCCAGATATTTCACCAATAGCATCCAAAATCACCGTGCGAATCAACTCAGGGGCCTCCCTATCTGGAGTAATCTCCGAATACCACAAATCAACAACAAAATCCCTGAGTATTTTATCAATAATCTCATTGAGAGCAGCCTCCACCTTAGGAGAATCAGTTTTCCGTTTCCACTTGGGCAGAGGCGGTGAGCTAGAAAGACGGGAATCATTCACAGACAACTGTTTCTTCTCCAAATGAGATAAATAAGTTAGCGGACGAATTGATTTAACTTTCCATTTGAACTCAACCTCATTAGTTATAATTCGCAGAAAAGAAACCATAAGGATTGCAATAGGTAAATTCATCCACATTGATGTACTTGTATCTGCACCAATTAACAAAAGCAAAAACCCCTAAATTAATCAATCGATACAAATTTCAAATCCAATGGTTAATCTGCTCCAATTAAACGGGAATTGTCTAAACTTCCAAGAAAAAACAATTCCAAGCATCCAAATGAATTAAAATCAAAGAATTAACCAAAATTAAATATCTAAAAGAAAAACGATCATATAGCAAATAATTATTTTTGGAATCTTCATTATAATTAACTTACGAGACAAGATGTAAGTGACGGAAAAGATAGCCATGGCCCACCAAACCGTCCGTACTTTGGCCTCGTCGATCAGATCCTGTATCGTCTCCATCGGCTTCATTTTCCACCTTTTTTTCTTCTGATTTTTTCTCCCTCCGATTCGGGAATTCAATTCCTAGAATTTCAAAATTTTGAATTCTTTCATAACATCGAAGAAAAACAATCGCCGGAAACGAAACAGAGAATTACTTAAATCTTTTTTTTTCTATATATATATATTCTTCGATCAGCTTAGCTTCAGCGGTGTTTCATACTTTCATTTCGAATTAGTAAACAAAAATCAAGAAATAACAGAGGGGAAGGAAACGAGAGTATCTGGAATTATTTTTCTTTTGCTTTTTTTTTTTTTTTTAATAATTTTGGTCTTAATAGACAGACGGCAACATAATGCGTGGAAAAATGAAATGTGCTGCGGGACGTTACGATCTTGCAGCCCTCTAAGATCGTGCCACGTAAGAAATTTGACAGGTTTTTCCTTTTTCCGTGCTTTGATTTCCAAATATTTTCGTATTTCTGGCTACCACATGGGAAATGCTATGTCTAATTTGTCCTAAATCCTAAGTGGATATGGAGTGCATGACGGCGAGGGCATAGCAAATGTAAAATTGTTGTATATTACTAGTAGGAAATTTATCCAATTGTTGATAAATTCGTTTTAAAATTTTATCACAAGATTAAAAATTTGTCACATATTTTATTAAAATATATTTAAATAATAATAAAATAATTAATAAATTATAAAATATGTAAAAATATTCTAATTTTATTTGTAAAGTTTAAAAATTAATACAAGTACGCTATACAATTTAAATAGTCCGTTATTGTAATATAAATATTTAAATACAAATTCCTTATTATATATAAATTACATAATTTTAAAATTTTACAAAAAATTTAAATATATAATGTCATTCGTGTTAATGTTATTGTACTTGTTAATTTTTTATTTACATTCAAATTAAGATGTGTTATGAATTTAAATGTGTTTGTAGATGTATAAGATAAAAATTCATATATAAATTTTAAAAACTATTATTCAAAACTAATTGTACTATATATAATTCATTAAATAACTTATAATAAACATTTTTAAAATGCTTTTATTTATAAATTACTTTTTCAATATTAAAAATTCATTGAACAAACATATTTTTTATAAATTACATTTTCAAAATGTAAGCCAAATTTATGAGCAAAAATATTTTCTAAAAAATTAAAACAAAAATATCATATTTTTAATTTTTCTTGTTGAATATTAAATTATTAAAAAAACAACTTATCTACAAAAAAGAAATCCAAAAAGCCGAAAAAGAGCAAAACCGAAGCATGCAATCCAACGACTCTCATTTTAATATCAAATCCAAAACAACAAATCGAACGGTCAAGTGTGCCATCCAATTATTCAAACAGTCAACACAAATTATCTTAAACCCATTTATGCTAATAAAATATCATTAGATCTTATCGGGCTCCGTCCCGTATTTAACCGCATCGCCGCATAATCATCTTCCTCAGCGAAACAAGTAAACAAGATCCGTGATTTGGCGCCCGTTTGGTTACGATGATTATGTCAATCCTATTCCGTACGTATTCTTTTCCTATCCTGGTCGAGGCTAAGGATATCCACCTTACGGGATTATCACCGTCGTCGAAAACGAGACTCGATTCGACGATTCGCTGTTCTTGGCGCAGCGACGCCTACATACCAAAGCTCGAGCCTTATAGCAGAACAAAATTCGAGCGTGCCGTCAAAGAGCCTCCCTTGATTGAGAAATCCGAGAACGAGCTCGCTGGTACGTAACTTTAATTGTATAACTTTTTCTTTCTTTTTCAGATTATTTATTGAATTTGATGATTTTGTAATTTTCAGATTATTGTTCGACTCTTGAAGGAGACGATTCTTATAGTTGCTGGAGAGCTTATTTCGAACTGAAAGATCTTGAGGCAAATTTCTTAGATTTCAAGTTTAAGTACTTAAGATAATTGCACCTGTTTGGATGATGAGAAAATTAAATCTAGAAGAAAGAAAATAAGAGAAAATTAAAAATGATTTTTATGGCATAATTCATTTTTTCTATAATTTCATTAACAGAATGAGACACTGAAAGAAGATATAGAGAATTTAATTCTTCAAGCAGAGGGAATGACTCGTAACGCAACTCTTTTTTTATCTCAGATTATGGCATTTTTTATTAAAAAAAAAGGCAAAATGACTGTTTGTTGTTGAAAGTTTGCCAGATTGATATTTTTCATTGCTAATATTTGTATAAATAGTAAAAATTTTCTTTATTTTGCACTGGCATAAGAACCAATACTTATCGTTTTGTACCATGGATTGGTTGCCCAACATGTTTTTGAAAGCTTTGAGTCCAATTTCAATCTCCATTAACCTAGTTAAAAAGAACTGTGATTCCTTGCATTGTAATTAACAAATTGAAGGAGTCAAATACAGGCAAGCTACACGAAAAAGAGCAGAAGTAAGAAGGTTTAGTTTAGCATTACTCGCCAGAAAAAATGTGTTTAAATTTGTGGTAAAAAACATTATTTAAATTTTTTGAGTATTACTCATTATTATTAAAAATATTAATGAAATGAAATGTGAAAAAAATACATAAAATAATAAAAATTTAGATATATATATATAAAGATAATATAATTATTTTACCCATAAACGTGTGGTTGAAAGAATGAGAAAAATAACTAATTCATTTAGGGGTGAGTAAAAATCGGTTTAAATCGATTAAATCGATCGATACTGAATAAATTCGGTTAAATCAATTCAGTTTATTTGGTTTTGATTATAATTGATCTTTTAAATCGATTAAATTGATTAATTCGATTGATTTTCGATTTTTAAAGTTAATAATTGAATTGATTAAATTAATTAATTTTTTAATAAGTAAAAGTTAAAAAATTGGGATAAAAATTTTTGTTTATTTTTTTCTTGTAAAATATTATTGAAATTATTAAATTATTTATGTCATTTAGTTTGAATGATACTTGAATTTAAATTTTATTAAATTAAATTTATAATTAAATAATTATTTATAATAAAAAAATGATAAAAAAATGATTATTTAATTGAACTGAACCGATTTTGATCAGTTTGATTATGATCAATTATTTTAAAACATTCAATTGGTTCAGTTTTTTGTTAAATAAAAATTAATCAAATTGATTATTGATTTTTTTTAAATCGAATCAACCGAATGAATTGATTACTCACCCTTAAATCCATTGTATTCGAGAAAAAATTTTATTTCCATTTGTCAGGATTTTGCCACACTATATGGCTCAAGAAAGAAAAAATATAGAAGAAAGAATTTGATTTTATAAACGGAGTATAGAATTACAGTTTAATCTTGTCCAGGTTCAGCCCTGAAGTCGACATTTTTGCACGAGGTATATTGCAAGAGGACTAGGTCAATTGTTTGTTTTTAGCTATGCTTTTCTTGTTTCATCTAGGTCTACATCCCGCAAAGCAAGCAATCCCACTCTCTAAATCGTCTAAAATTTGTGGTGTTCAAACGAAGCTAACAAAGTTTCCGGAGCTAAAACAGGAGACAAATTCCCATGAACTCTCAATGGCTATTAAATCGTACCTTCTATCTCCCTCAATATAATCCTTCCCCTCTTCAGTACCCTCTGCGTTCTATAAGCAGCCTTGGGCCTACCAAGGTGGTTAGCAATGGCTAAACCTCAAAGATTGCAGGCCTTTGGCTGCTTTCTTTTCTTTGCTTGTCTTTTCTCTTCATTAACTACGTCTACTTTTGCATTGTCTGATGCTGAAGCATCTTATATCGCTCATCGCCAGCTGCTATCCCTCCCTGAAAATGGCGAACTTCCTGAGAATTTTGAATATGAAATCAGGATAATTGAAACTTTTGCAAATCAAAGGCTCAGGAGGGCTTACATTGGCCTTCAAGCCTGGAAAAAGGCTATGTTCTCGGATCCATTTAACACAACTGGCAACTGGGTTGGACCCAATGTGTGTGCCTACACCGGTGTCTTCTGTGCTCCAGCATTGGATGATCCCAAATTGAGTGTTTTGGCCGGCGTTGATCTTAATCATGCTGACATTGCCGGATTCATTCCAGCAGAGTTGGGGCTGATGACCGATCTTGCATTGTTTCATATAAATTCTAACAGGTTTTGTGGAATTATACCGAAGAGCTTGTCTAAGCTTACGCTTATGCATGAGTTTGATGTCAGCAACAACCGCTTTGTTGGTCCTTTCCCAGATGTTGCTCTCTCATGGCCAGGCCTCAAGTTCCTTGATGTCAGATTCAATGATTTTGAAGGCGAAGTACCGCCTAGCATTTTCGAAAAGGACCTTGATGCATTGTTCTTGAACAACAACAGGTTCACATCGACCATTCCTGAAACAATTGGCAAATCCACTGTATCTGTTGTGACATTTGCCAACAACAAATTCAAAGGATGCATTCCACATAGCATTGGTAAGATGGCGAACCTGAATGAGATTGTTTTCATGAACAATGACCTTGGTGGTTGCTTCCCAGCAGAAGTTGGCTTGCTAGGCAACGTAACTGTTTTCGATGCCAGCTTGAACTCATTTACAGGTATCCTGCCACAAAGCTTTTCGGGCTTGAACAAGGTTGACGTCTTGGATATTTCCCACAACAAGCTGACAGGAATTCTACCCGAGACTGTTTGCAAGTTGTCGAGCTTGTCCAATTTCACATTCTCTTACAACTACTTCAAGGGAGAGGCCAATGCTTGCATACCACCTTCAAGGAAGGACATTGTGTTGGATGACACAAGCAATTGTTTGTCTGGTAGGCCAAAGCAAAAGTCAGCCAAGGAATGCCAACCCGTGGTGAGTCGCCCTGTGGATTGCAGCAAGGACAAGTGTGCTGGAGGTTCTTCACCTTCCAAACCACGGCCACCCAAGACACCATCACCTAATAAATCTAGCCCATCAGAGCCAGAGCCACAGCCAAAACCACCAGTCACAGGGCCTCCAACGCCAAAGCCACATCCAAAACCTCCAGTTACTGCTCCTCCAACGCCAAAGCCAAAACCATCAACACCAGATGGCCCACACCAACGATCACCAGCACTGGCACCAGCAGCAGCACCAGCACCATATCCCGATCCACATAAACTATCTCCAGTGAATCCAACTAGGCCAGCAATACCTGAGAACCCAACACCGAAGCCACCAAAACCAACAGCAGAACCACCTAAGAACCCTACTCTTGAGACACCAGAACCAACATTAGCACCTAAAAGCCCAACTCCCGAGTTACCAGAATCATCACCAATGCCTCCACCACCAGTTCAATCTCCCCCTCCACCAGTCCATTCCCCACCACCACCAGTTCAATCTCCCCCTCCACCAGTCCATTCCCCACCACCACCAGTCTACTCTCCACCCCCACCCGTCCACTCACCCCCACCACCAGTATATTCACCACCACCACCAGTCCTTTCTCCACCACCACCTTCACCTATTTACTCACCACCCCCACCAGTCCACTCACCACCACCTCCTGTCTACTCGCCACCACCACCAGTCTACTCCCCGCCACCACCTGTTCATTCACCACCACACCACCACCACCAACACCAGTTTACTCCCCTCCACCACCCGTCCACTCTCCACCTCCACCAGTATACTCACCACCACCACCGGTACAATCCCCACCTCCACCAGTATACTCACCACCACCACCGGTACAATCCCCACCTCCACCGGTTTCCTCACCACCACCACCACCACGAGCTCCAATTTCATCTCCTCCTCCTGCTGTTGATTCTGCACCTCCACCTACCGAGGAATTTATCCTCCCGCCAAACTTGGGATTCCAGTACTCATCGCCACCTCCACCAATGTTCCCAGGCTACTAAATAATATAGCCTTGACATCTTTATATTGTGTATTCTCCCTTTTGGCTATAAAAAAAAAAAAGGCCATGTACACAGGCATTTTGTTAGCTTAACTTCTCAATGGATTTGCAGTTTCCAAAAAAAATGTAACATGATTGATAGAGAAGTTTGTATATGTCTTTTTTTTGGTAGGAAACTATAACTAGATAAAGATCATAAAATAATACGGTATAAAATTTTCCCTGTTACATAGTCGGCAAGCAAGTTCAAAAATAACAAAAAAAATTTTCATAATATTTAAAAGTTGCAAAGTGGCCACTATCAAAATGAGCCCAAGTATCAGCGCAAGTGTTTCCCTCCCTGAAGGTATGCATGAATTCACAGCAACTTCCTACAGTCATCGATTAAAGGTTGTAAATACAGGTTAGGAGTGAATTGGTTTTTTATCAAAGAAATGATAGCAACGGCATCTCTTTTCACATCCAAGTTAGAACTATTTAGTTGTTTAGCCAACATTAACCTATCCTTAAGAGCCCATAATTCAGCCAATATATTCGTTCCATATCCTATAAATCTAGCAGAGCCAGCCACCTATTTTCTTGTACAGTCTCTAATGATGATGTTAGCCCCTGCTTTTCCTAGATTTCCTGTAAACGATTCATCGGTGTTTAGTTTAAAACGTCCACACTCAGATGGTTTCTATTTAACAAAAACGAAAGAGATTTGGTCGTTTCTTCCCTGTCTCTGGTTCAAGGCATAGAATTTCCTCGCTTTCTCTTTAAATATGTCTATAAATCTCTATTTCATCTGTCCATCTGTCTCTTTGTTGTATTCCATGATATTCCCTTTTTGATAGAAGAAAAATGTCTTGTTTTATTCTGGTTTCCTCTCAGGCTCTCACTCTTCCTTGCTTCACAGTCGCCGGCTTTGTATGCCGACCACCCTCTTTTCTCTCTTCTATCATTGTTTTCCGCTTTTGTTTCAATATTCAACCATCATTCTCTCTTTTTATCCCTAAAAATGTGTACCAAACGACTTGACGTTGTTTTAAATTAGTGGATTGCATTATTACTGATCTTCCATTTATAATCTGTCAATGCCCTTACCATTGTTGTTTCTTTTCTCAACTATTTCATTTTCTTTTCCTTTATTACTTTTAAACAATAAAAAAATAAAAACTTAAATAATTTTTTTATTATAATTCAGAAATTCTTTAATCTTTTAATATAATGTCATGGAATTTGTGGAATTCACCCGTGAATAAGGTGCAGAAGTAAACATAATAAAACTTGGGGCAATTCTAAATCCAAGAAAGCACCTATCAATCAAAATCGTTTATTTTACTAAATGGCAACCATTAGCTGGTGATTATTGATCAATCAAGAATCTGCTGAATCAAATGAAATGATATATTATCAAAATACCTTTGCGGTTAAGACTGCTAGGGTCAGAAAAGTAAAAACAAAAAAACATTATTAAGCCGGACAATGGATCGAGAAAGGGGATCGGTTTGGTCCGTTTGGAGGAGAGTCTGGCCCAATTGTCACAGTTATGATCTCTGACTCAGAATCCATACAACATTAGATCAAAAATGTGTTCCTTAGGTCTAAGTTAGCCTATGAATCAAGTGTGCGGGCAAACAAACAATTGAAAAGGCAAAATACGTAAGTTAGAGAGAACACAGAGAATGCAAAAATATGCATTATATTACTGAAGAACAATGTGTTTGATGATATACAACTGAGAGTGAGGTTACCCTCTATTTATAGTTGAGGCTCTCAACTTTACTTATGGCTATCTCCTAAAATTAAAAGATTTACAAGATTCCTAAAAATCAAGGATTACACATTATTACACAAATTACATGAGGTTCCTCTTGATTTTCAAGGTCAACCAAATCCTCCTATTGAATACTTCAAATCCTGGATGCCTCAGATGATTCTAAATCAGCCAAGCTTCCTTGGGTCCACCTGGGTGTGGTACAGGCATGTTGTAGGCTTGGTCCTGACTGTACAGGCAGGCTTACATGTTGTGTGGACAGTCTTAACTCTTCTCCCATGCTTATTGTGCCAACCTTCACAACTGTCCCTATTGCTCAAGCCTTGGCAGCAGGTGCTCGGGCCTCAACTCTTAGTACGCTTGCCCAGGGCATGACATTCTCCCTCACCTAATTGCATGACGCTCTCTTCGCGTCCTCTACATGGAACTACCTCATCTGGTCCTAGAACTGTCATAAATCCTTTGCTGGTTCCCAATTTACTTCACTATTTGGAATCCTTTCTACCACACCAAGTACTCCTATCTTGGTTTATAGTTCTTCTATCTCACCTTCCAGTCAACAAGAATGCTATGGACCTCCCTTTTATATGAAGCCCTAGCTCTCAATGGTATACGATTCAACTCAACCTGTCTTGGATCCTTCTTGTCCTCATGGAACAGTTTGAGCATGCTAACATGGAACACTGGGTGTACATTCGACTTGGATGGCATATCCAACTTATAGGCAACCTTGCCTACCTTCTTAAGAACTCTGAAAGATCCCTCATACCTTCGAACTAAGCTTTTGTGAAGTCTTTTGTGGCATACAATAGGGTGCAACTTCACCAAAACCAAGTCCCTTACTCGGAATTGCACTTCTTTCTTTTTTTGGTCTACCCATTTTTTTGATCTCTTTACGACTTTATGTAAACAGACTTTGGCTAAGTCGACTTACTCCTGCCAAGCCTTGGCAAACTTGTATGCTACTAGATTGGGCTTTATATAACCTACAACAATCAAATTAATTGTTAGTAGTTGTTGACTTGTCACAATCTCAAAAGGACTCTAGTTTGTTACTTCACTCATCTGCAGGTTGTATGAAAATTGGGCGACATCTAACAACTTTGACCAATCCTTTTGTGTGGCACTCATATAATGCTTGAGGTAAAACTCCAATAGTCCATTCACTCACTCAGTCTATCCGTTGGTCTGCAGATGCATACTGGTAGAAGAGTTTAAGTCTGACCCCAATAACTTGAACAACTCAATCTAGAACTCCACCTTGTGTTATTAGCACATAAGACAAGTCTTCACATAGGTTTTCATATCATCCTTCATGTGTTGCTAGTAGTATCGATCTTCTAGTAAGGCTAAAGTGCAACTCATCCCTGGGTAACCAGTCCACTTGAAATCATGACGTTCTTGCAAAATTTTCTTGCGAAGCTTCTTATACTGCGGCATAATAAGCCTACCACCTTTGGTGTACAATAAGTCATCCTGTAACCAAAACTGCTTAGTCTTACCTTGCTTGGCATATTCAATGAGAGCCTTGGCTGTAGATCATGTGTGACCCCTTCTCTAATGCACGATATTAAAGACCCTTTTGGTTGGCTAATGGTATCAAGGTTTGCCTTCTTACTCAGGGCATCAGCTACTGTGTTCGCCCGCCCTAGATTGTACTCTAACTTGTAATCAAATTTCATAAGAAAATTCAACCAACGGGCCTACTTTATGGGCAGCTTCTTCTATGTCTAAAAGTAGCTGGTTGCCACATTATCTGTTCTAACCATAAACCTCTACTCTAATAGGTAATACCACTAAGTGTTCAAGCAGTGCACCACTGTTGTCATCTCATTTTCTTAGATTATGTATCTGTGCTCAATCTTATTGAGCTTTCAGCTCTTAAACGTAATTAGATGGTTATCCTGCATTAGCATTCTCCCAATCGTAAACTCTAATGCATTCATATGCACCTTATATGGCTTAGCATGGTTTGGTTAGGCCAACACTGGCTCCTCGATCACTGTCCATTTCAATAGATTAAAGACTTTCTGGCACTCTATACTCTATTCCCATGCTTTCCTTTTCTTAAACAAATCTATCAATGATGTGGCTATAGCTGAATGGCCTTTGATGAAATGTCAATAATAGTTAACCAACCCGAAGAATGACCTCAACTTAGTTACCTTGGCTGACAGTTCCTAATCCAGAATGACATGTGCCTTACTTGTATCTATGTGTATCTTGCTACCTCTCACTATGTGGCTTAGAAATAATACTTTTCATTGGGCAAATGAGCACTTCTTCTTCTTCACATACAGTTCATGCATCCGTAACACCTTGAACATCTGTCTCAAGTGGTTTATATGTTTTCTTAACATCTAACTATAGTTTACAATATCATCAAGATAAATCATAATAAAAAAATCAAAATAACAATTAAAGTATGATGTTTATAAGTGTATAGAATGTTGTTGGGGTATTGGTGAGTTCGAATGGCATAACCAAGAACTCATAAGAGCCATAGCAGGTGACATACACTGTCTTGGGCTCATCTTTCTCTGTGATCTTATAAATCTAGCTTGGTGAACCACCTTGCGCCTCCAAGTTAGTCGAACAAGTCTGCAATTAGTGGGATAGGATATTTGTTCTTGATGATCAGCTTGTTCAATGCTTGGTAGTCAACACAAAATCGTAAAGACCTATCATGCTTATTTTAGAATGGAATTAAAGTACCATACGAGGCTTTAGATGGCCTAATGTAGCCAACATCAATCAACTCTCTAAGTTGTTTCCTTAGCTCTTTTAACTCTAGAGGCGATATTTGGTAAGAGGCCTTGGCTAATGGCTTGGCCTCGAGCACTAGCTCAATCTTATGGTCTGTTTTTCTCTTGGGTGATAGCTTGCTAGACAACTTTATGGGCATCACATCGTTAAAGGTCTCCAACACCTCTAAAAGGGTGTCGATCTCTTTCTTCCTCGATTTCTCATACATTAAGGTAACCAAGAAGGTGTTTTTATCCTTGTTCATCGCCTTGGCAAATTGAATGACTGACAACCCTTAGACCCAATCCCGGACCCGTGCCTTAATGGTACAAGGTATTGATACTGTGCATCTAGAATGCATATACAATTTACAAAAGGCACAAGAAGGGCATTAATCCGAATAAAAAAATTTAATCTAATCACAAACTCATAATTATCCAAGGTTATTACCTCGATGGTCTCTTTGCTCTGCCACGCTCCTAGCTGTATCTTCATTCCTCGCACTATTTTAATGGCTAGAACCTTTCTAGAGTTCACTGTTTTGATGGTACTAATCCCTTTGTGTACTTTTAGGTTGAGTTTCTGGGTTCCATCACTTTGTCCACTAGTGTGAGGCACTAGCGCTCACTTTCTTACCCGTAACCATCAAATCTGCAAATATCAAGCCTTTGGCTTATAGCTTCCCTTACTTTAAACAACATTGAGCATGATCAAGCTAATCTTTACTATTTCAGCCTTTGGCTCTTCATTTAACTCCTTGTCTACAATAGACAGCTTGCCTCTCTTTGGGTAGTTTCAAGCTAAATGTGATTCTTCACACAAGTAGCATGAGATCAACTTCTGATCTTCCTTTGCCTTTCACTTTTTTACTGGTGGCTTGCCTTAGACGTCCTTGTCCAAATAGTCTCGATCTCCATCCATAGACTACCAGTCACGGTGCCCTCTCTTTGACTGTTTTTTTTATCCATTCTGTTTTTGCCCTTCCCTTTGGGCTTAGAAGACTCAAACTTGTTTTATGGCTTAACTCCAACTACCCTCATTTGTAGCTCATGCTTCACCTACAGCTTGAGCCCATCCACGAAGGCAAACAAACCTTCAGTCTCACTCATATATGAAATCTAAAGCATCAATTCAAAAAATTTATGAACATTTCCTTTATGCCCTCTTACTAAGTAAGTCGGTATAACTTTATCAGCACTTCATCATTGGCATGCTCTGAGTAAAATTACTCTTTGAACTCCTTTTGAAACTTCCTTCAAATGTTAATTAAGGCACCTCTGCGTCTCACATCATCACACCTATGCCTTTACTACAATAAGGTAACATCAGTAAGATACATTGAAGCGATGTTTATCTTAGTAGCATCATCTTACATGCTTATGGCCCAGAAGTATTGCTTTATCCCCTATAGATAGTTGTCTACTTCTTTGGCCACCCTAGTCCCCTTGAACTCTTTGGGTTTGGGAATTTCCACATAGGTCTTATGCACTCCAGCAATCATGCCATTCCCAATGGCTATCTTACAAGTAAAGAGCTCTTTCTTGAGCTCTTCTATCTCTTTGTGCATGATCTTCCATATGGGCCTTCAAAGTTGCATTCTGCTGGGTGATCACATCGATGCCTTCATTCAAAGTAGCTTGCAACTCACCTTTGAGCTCATTCTCCATAAAGTCTAATGCCTTGAAGTGAGCATCTACCTCGTCAAGCTTCTCTTTCACATCGCCCACTATTACCTTCACCTTGGATAACTTCCCATCTATGGTAGATTAGATGTCTTTCAAACTAGCTTTTTTCCCCCTTTCACTGCTATTAGGCCTTTGGTTGTTGGCTAATAACATCACTCTAGGATACCATTTCTGTGAATGCCTTAAGTGCGATTTAAACAACATTGAATAGAACTTACATCGAACCTACTCTGATACCAACTGTCACAGCTTCGACTTCTGACTCAAAATCCATGTGGCCTTAGAATAAGAATAGATTCCTTGGGTTTAAGTCAGCCTATGAACCAAGCATATAGGCAAACAAATAACTGGAAAGGCAGAATACGAAAATAGAGAGAATGCTAAATATGCAGTGTATTACTAAAAAATAGTGTGTCTGATGATGTACAACGAAGAGTGAGGTGACTCTTTATTTATAGTTGAGGCTTCAACTCTACTTATAATTATCTCTTAAAATTAAGAAATTTACAAGATTCTTAAAAATTAAGAATTACACATTATTACATAGATTACATTAGCCTCCTCTTAATTTTCAAAATCAATCAGATCCTTTTACTGAATGTTGTCAATCCTAGATGACTCTCGAAGATTTTAGGTTAGTTAAGCTCTCTTGGATCCACCTGGGTGTGGTGAGAGCATGTTGTGAGCCTGATCTTAACTGTGCGTACAGGTTTACATCTTATGCGAGCAGTCTAGACTCTTCTCCCGTGCTTATTGCACCAACCTCACAACTGTTCTTGGTACTCAGGCCTTGACCGCAAGTGCTTAGGCCTCAGGTCCTAGTGCACCAGCCCAGGGCGTGACACAATCACTATAAAGCGCAGCCGTTTAATTTGCTTACTTTTGAGGGATCATGGCATCCTTTGAAGGCCGATTGCCTTCAAACGCGCGTTGAGTCACTATCCTTGGTCCATTTTCGACTGTACATAGCCGCTAGCTACCCTCTCAACAACTTGAAGCTCCACTATCCTTATACAGATCTCATTGATTCAATCTTTTCTCTGTTTAAAAAAACCTGAAAATCCATACCAAAAAATCCCTTTTTAGACTCTTAATTTGTTCAGCATTTTTCCCCTTTCGATACGAAAACAAAGAAAAGAAATGGAAGATACCAAGAACCCACCACCGCAAGCAATGGAAGATGAAGAAAAAAAGGAAGAACAAGGAAAAGAAGAAGAACCCAAGAAGGAGGAGCAACAGCCAGCATCAACCACAACACCGAAGAGTGGAGGAGGATGGGGCGGTTGGGGTTTCTCTGCTTTCTCTGTTCTCTCACATCTTCAAAAGGCTGCCACTGTTGCCGCTGAGGAGAATGCTCGCAATTTACGATTCATTTTCCTCTTTCTTAATATTTGTTTATGTATTTACTCAACTTATGGGATTTTTTTTTTGAATTGTTTTTGGTATTCGAATTGAATATTGTTTCTTTCACTATGTTTGCATATGTGGGTTTCAGTCAATTCAGATGTTGGAGTGAAATTTGTTGATTTTTTTTCGAATACTCATTTTGAAGAAAGGTCACTGTGTTGCTTAATTTAGTAGGTTTTGATACTTTGGAAGCCTTATTCACTATGGGTTTAGTTAGTGGATAATTTTGGTTTTGATGAATTAAACCTTACTTTGTGTTTGACATGTGAAGCACTGGAAGTTTAGGAAGGGAAAATGAAGCTCACTGTTCAATGACCTAGCCTTTTTCTGAACTCCTGGATAGATGAAATGGTTATGATGCAAAAAACCCAATTTGATTATGTGGAAGGAAATATGTGTTATTTATAATGAACTCCTTTTTTTTTTTTTTTCCATTCAAGTGGAGCCTTTTATGATTCGCTTTAAACTTATTTTCTCAAAGGTGTACCTTGTTCTCTTCTTAGATCAGTTACATACTTGTATGTTTGCATTTAACATGTGAGAACAGATAGCTAAGGTTATTATCTTTGATGTGCTCTTCAGGCATTTCTGATGTAGCCGAAGCCTATCAAGCTGCCATTAAGAGTGCTGCTGCAGATTCACATGAAGCACTTCCACGGGCATCAATCCTGGAGAAAGCTAATTCCTTCTCTGAACATCTCTGCAGTGATCAGACCACTGCAGTGAGTAAAATCCAGGATGGACTCCAATATTTATCTTATGTAGTCCTTTCAACTTCAATGCGAGCTGCTTGAAAACTCAAATTCTCTACATGTCTTGTTAGTTTCTATGCAAGTAGTTGCAGTTTAGATGAGTTTTTAACTCCAGTCTTACTTCAAACGTTTTATGCTACACCATTGAAACTGAACTCATTTTTAACCAGCCGGTAAATTAGTTTCTTTTGTGTAGATTTCTGTGTTAAATGACTGTCTGGAATGTTGAACACTCAATTTCCACTAAATGATCAAAAGAAATTCAAATACCGTATCCTTTTTAAGGATTGAGAGGTTTAGATTCATGAGGTTTCGGAAATTTTCTTGGTATTGATTCTATGTTTAGCATTCTGGAAAATCGAACTGGAAATATCAGGAAGATCTATCTTTGCTAAACGCCCAAGCTTGTAAACTATACTGAACATACAGGTTTAATAAGCGGCAAAAAGAGGTTTTTTTTTGCCTAGATTTGTATTTGTTGGAAGGTTGCGGAAGATAAATTTTCATAAATTTGTTAGATTCAATATAGATGAATCTGTTTGAATCAATTTAAAAAAAAAAAATAGACAAAGTCCAAAACCCTTCCAACTTAAAAAAAAAAGTCAAATTTAAATCTTCTTAAGGCTAAATAAAAATTTTATTACGGTCATGTTGTATTATAAGATTAAGATACATGATAACACGGTTTGAATTTAATACTCATAGAACAATTTTTTCAAAAGAAGGGCTATTAAAAATTGAGTAAATGATAGACACTAATTACCTACCACCAACCAAATTTTGTTTATGGACGAAAATTGTCTATGTTCAATGTATATAAAACGAGCCAAGATGAAACTATGTTCGCTGGCTTTTGTTCCGAAGGTAGACTACAACTGTAACGTCGACTATCCAACTACCACACTGAGAAGGAATCACCATGGGAAAGATTGACCCAGTTTTTGTCCAGGAACCGGAACACAGGCCGAAATTAAGTGCAATCGAAGTGGAGGAAATCCCAGTAATCGACCTGTCGGTTTTTGACACTGGAGAAACCAAACAACTTGCTTCAGAGATTGGAAATGCATGCAAAAACTGGGGATTTTTTCAAGTGATCAATCATGGGGTGCCTTTGGAATTACGCCGCAGGGTTGAGAAGGTGGCTAAATCGTTCTTTGATCTGCCCATAGAGGAAAAGAGAAAGTCCAAACGAGACGAATTGAATTTTACGGGGTACCATGACAAGGAGCATACTAAGAATGTCAGAGACTGGAAGGAGGTTTTTGATATGTTGATCCAGGACCCGACCCTGCTCCCAGCATCGCCAGAGCCTGATGATGAGGAAATAAGAACGTACTCTAACAAGTGGCCTGAGTATCCCCCTGAGTTTAGGTAAAGAAACTTACCTTCAAAAGGAAGAGTTTAAATTTTGCTCAAAGTATGCAAATTTATTTGTCTTTGATAGAATTTCAGAGATGAGAAAACCCTATGATAATTATAGTTTTCACATGAACATTTTCTTGAATTAAGCTCAGATTGGGATTTTGGTCATGTTATATGTTTGACAAGAATGAGTTCAGTTTTGACATAACCCGGCTCCCAGGGCACCAGAAAACCCAAAAACTATGAAGAAGATAAAGTACAAATCATATATCTGTAATCGTTTAATTAGTTTGGCTTTTGCACTTATTTTATGCAATCGTTTCTGTGTGTAGGGAGACATGCCAGGAGTATTCTAGAGAGGTGGAAAAACTGGCTTTCAAGTTGTTGGAACTCATTTCTCTAAGCTTAGGTTTGCCTGCTAATCGGTTAAGTGACTACTTTAAACACCAGACTGGTATGCTGAGGATTAATTACTATCCTCCTTGCCCTTCCCCTGAGCTGGCCCTTGGCGTTGGTCGACATAGGGATGGTGGTGCCTTAACTGTCCTTGCTCAGGATGATGTTGGAGGGTTACAAATTAAGAGGCAATCAGATGGGGAATGGATTCCTGTCAAACCAATCCCAAATGCCTACATCATTAATATTGCTGATTCTCTTCAGGTAACCATGGTTTTTGTCATAAGACACGTTCCTTAGTTCCTTATGTTTTTAACTATAACTACATCAAAGTCAACAAGCTCATGGTCTGTTGGTAGAGAACTGGACTCTTAGTTCCAGTGATCAGGTTCAAATCCATGTAGTTTCAAGTATTAAGAAAAACCATAACTACAGCAAAGAGCATATTGTAAAAGAGAAGGTGTTTTGCAGGTTTGGAGTAATGATCTTTACGTGAGTGCTGAGCACAGAGTGGTGGTGAATTCTGAAAGGGAAAGATTTTCTATTCCATTCTTCTTCTTCCCTTCCCACTATGTCACAGTGAAGCCTCTAGAGGAGCTACTGAATGAGCAAAATCCAGCAAAATACAAAGAATATAACTGGGGCAAGTATTATGTTAATAGAACCGGCAGTAACTACAAGAAACTTGATGCTGAAAACGTTCAAATTGATCATTTAAGCGTCTGAGTAATTGTTGCAGTATAAGCTTGCTTCAAAAATAGTACTGCTAATACTTGTTTTCATTTCAGCTCGAAATTGTCATGATATAATAAACAGGCTTTTGTATCATATGGAAATATGCCTTGATCTGTTTTAGCTGGAAGACTATGTAAGTCTTAAATTGAATCAGAAATACTGCTGGAGCATGGTGGATTGTTTTCATATAATTTCATGAATTGATGTCATTTTATGAGGGATTTTGGAAGGATTCTTAATCCTTTCATTTATGGGTTTCTTCTCGCCAATTCATCTTCCTCTTTAGAGAAGGATCTAAACTTATATACCCACGCAAATGACCTATGAAAACATGTAGATCCTGCTAATAAGGATAAGAATCCAGGGGTAAATTGTTGCTCCAACCTGATGTAGGTCTATCCTGGGAATTTTATCAACTTACATTGAAGTCCTAATGAAACTCTGTCCTACAGTCCATTTGCAAGTTTTATTGGAAACATGATTTGATGAATTTACTTTGGAAATGAACTGAGACAAATGGTGGAGTGGATCACACAGCATTTTACGGCTTGTTCAAGATAAATCAAAGCAGTGATGCAACCTCCAGGATGAACAAAAATAACTCGGATTAACATCTATATTGAGATATGAAAAAAAAAGAAGGGTGAAATATATTTCAGTCTTTTAATTTCATTCATAAAATTAAAAATTACACTATCGATGTATAACTGATTTATCAAACCAACTTTATTTACCTAATTATTTGAATTTTTTTATAAAAAAAAAAAAAACCCTATTCCGCTAATAATTGCCCGAGATTAACAATTTTCTCCTTTGGCCAAAATGTCCAACCAAATTGGCCTTGCAACTATGCAAGCACAAACGTCACAGGTCACAATCTTCCAAAACAAAGTTCTGCCAATCTTATCTTTGCCTAGTTAGTAGTTAGTTTTACCCTCATTTTTCATCAAAAACTGTCCAGGTTCAATCTCGGTTAAACGCCAACCTTTTACTTCAAAAACCATTCCTCTGTCTGTCATTTCTCACAGACAAAACCAATTCATTTACCTTCTTCCATTGAACTGTTATTAACAAGCAAATACAATGGGAGAAGTTGATCCCGCTTTCATCCAAGACATCGAACACAGGCCTAAACTCTCGATCATTGAAGCTGAAGGAATACCCTTAATTGATCTTTCAGTGTTGAATTCACCTGATGCTGTATCTGACCCCAGTAGCCTCGACAGCCTTGTCTCTGAGATCGGTAACGCATGCAAGGACTGGGGATTTTTCCAAGTGATCAATCATGGAGTACCATTGGAGCAACGTCAGAAACTTGAGGAAGTATCCAGGAAATTCTTTGCTCAACCTTTGGAGGAGAAGGTGAAGATCAGGAAAGATGAAGGGAAGGTTTTAGGTTATTATGACGCTGAGCATACCAAGAATGTTAGAGATTGGAGGGAGGTGTTTGATTTTACAGTCCAAAATCCTACTATAGTCCCAGCTTCAAGACGCCCTGATGACAAGGAAGTAGTTGAGTGGCAAAATCAATGCCCCGAGTATCCTCCTGAACTAAGGTAATTTAAAAAAAAAAAATGAACCCTTTTCTCAATTGATATATTCATTATATTGTTTATTTTTCATTAGATTGACCAACTTTCTACCTAGGAAGTTTGAATTGTTTGGGGGTTTTAGAATTTGTGACATTTCGACTGTTAAACTGTAATGAATTTTGGAATTTTAATTTGTGCCACAGAGAAGCATGTGAAGGATATGCAAAGGAACTAGAAAAATTATGTTACAAGTTGATGGAACTTATTGCCTTAAGCCTAGGCTTGCCAGCAGATAGATTCCATGATTTCTTCAAGGACCAAACCAGCTACCTCAGGCTTAACCGCTATGCACCTTGCCCTGCTCCTGACCTAGTTCTAGGCCTTGGCCGACACAAGGACTCTGGTGCCCTGACCATTCTTGCTCAAGATGAAGTAGGAGGATTGGAAGTGAAGCGAAAATCAGATGGAGAATGGGTCCGTGTCACGCCTACGGCAGATGCTTTTATCATTAATATTGGTGACATTTTTCAGGTATCGTTAAGTGATGCTTGTAAATGGTCCTTTTAGAACATTAACTAAATATGTATTCAATAGTAATATGGGAATTAGTTGTGGCTGATCAATCATTTTGCGTACAGGTTTGGAGCAATGAAACTTATGAGAGTGTGGAGCACAGGGTCACGGTGAATTCCGAGAGGGAAAGGTTTTCGATTCCATTCTTCTTCCACCCGGCTCATTACACCATGGTGCAGCCCTTTGAGGAGCTGACAAGTGAGACAAATCCCCCCAGATACAGGCCATACAATTGGGGAAAGTTTTTGATCACTCGGAAGGGCAGTAATTTCAGGAAGCTCGATGTCGAAAACATCCAAATCTACCACTTCAGGATATCAAATTTGGCAGACCGCGTAGAAGCACTATCAGTGATATAATAAAATGGGGGCATTAGCATGTAAATTAGTAATAATAATTAATAAGTTCATTCTGTATTGCTGAGGAGATACTTTGAACACATGGTGTGGTTAATATTTCTAGTATGAACCACTATGATCGACAATAATGAAAGCCCTTTCAGTCAAAAGACAAAACACTTCCTTGAAAGTTTGTAAAATCTATCCAATTTTGATGAGCTTTGTCCAGTACCCAACCTAGAAACATGGAACAGAAGCAGAAGCTCATGATCTTGGGTTTCACTTCCGGTTTATAACCTTCCTTCCATGGCACTAATTGGAACTTCATCATAGCCACCAAAGCACTTTGTGCTAGTATATGGGTCTTGGTCTTGCCATGGTGTTTGGTCATGGCACTAGCTGGTGCCAATGCTAAAATCAGCTGGTCACAATGTCACTGCCATAGACCTGGCAGGGTCGGGTTGATCCACGGCAAGTGAACAATCTCACATCGATTTCTGATTACATCTAGCCATTAGGGGAATCCATGGCATCACTTTCTGATCTAGAAAAAGTATTCCTTGTTGTTGTTGGTCATAGCCGTTTGGCTACCTCTCGCAGCGGAAAGGTTTCCTGAGAAGATTTTTGTTGCTATTTTCGTCGCTGCCATTGATACCTGTCCCAACCCTCAACATTTCCACTCTCAGTCTAAGTGTATGCAACGCATGAATTTTTTTTTTTTTTACCATTTTAAAGTTATTTTTTATTTATTTAATCATCCTAACCTCTTATTATTTAATCACATCTCTCTCTCTCTCTCTCTCTCTCTCTCTCTCTCTCTCTGCTTTTTTTGTTATTTTTTATTAATTTTTTCTAAAAAAAATTCAGATAAAATTTGTTAGGTAAAATTTATAAATTTTTTTATTAAAAATAATTAAATTAAAATTTAAAATAAAAAAATTGATAGATTAAAAAATTTTATTATATAAATTAAATACGTAAAATTTGAAAAAATTTTAATAAATTTATATTTTTTTAGATAAATATTTTTAATAAAAATATTAATAAAATTTTTATTATTGAATAAATATCTATTATAAACAACATATTAATAAAAATAAATATAGATTAAATTTAAATTATAAATAATTTTTTATATATTATTAATATTTTCATTAAATTCTATTAATCAATTAATTTAAATTTTTTATAAATTAATTTTTAAAAATTTTTTACAAATTTTATCTAAATAACTTTATATTAGGGTTGTCTTAATTTTTCACCGGCTCCCTTCTGAATTTCTGCTTCTGGCATCAACCCTCAACATAAAGTAACAAAACAAGACAAAACCCTTTCTCAGATTCTTGGGTTTTGGGAATTGATTTCGGTTCTCCAGTAATTCAAGCATCATCTTTTTCATCCTTTTTCACTTGGAATAATTTCACAGCCACATTTTATTTATTCTTTCCGACAAACCCTTATCTTAGAATGGGTAGTAAGTGTTTAATCTCCTATATAATTCATACATAAGCACTTTTTTTCTGCTTTTGAATTTGGGATGCGGAATATGATTAGAAAATGAGAACTTGCAACTTTCAGTTTACTTTTTTTAATCAAGGATATTTATGGAAGGTTTATTTTTGCTAAGTCAAAAGGTTTTAATTTAATCACATTAATGAAAATAAAATCAAATAATCAATCAATTACATAAAAAATAATAATTTAATATGATTTGATCTAACTGTCTTACGTTCACGAATGAAAAATAAGATTTATTAGTTGTAAAAAATTACAAACATATATCAAAATATATCAACCACTCAATAATTAATACCAATAAACTCTCTCAATCTCCTCTAATCCTATGAAATATTTTTAATCTAAATAAACACATGCCCATATGCACTTATACATTATACCTACGTAGATCTTCTTAATTTCTTCTAATCCACTCACAAATAAATATACACACCCCATAAAACATAAATTTCAGTAATCTTATGAGATGTCTACTCATAAAACTCTATAACTCTCTTATATATTTTTTTCATATCTAATCCTACAGAAACTTCACTTATTTATAACCATATAAACTTACCTATTAAGAATATCTTTTTTTTTTTAAATTATTTTTTTGCAAGTCAAACTTGCTTATTAAGAATCTATTTTCTTTTAAAATTCTTCATCTACAAGTCTTCTTGTCCATTAAGTAATATCTAACAAATCTCAAACAAATCTCTTATAAAATTTGAGTCATTATTTCCAACAATCTTCACCTTAACTCAAATTACATCAAGTCATTTGTCTTCATGCAAAACATATTTGACTCTACCTGTAATAAAAGTCTCACAATCATCTTTTCTTGTGTGTCTTTACGTTTCACGTAAACCAACTCTTAATTCTCAAAACTTACTCGAATTCTTTTTTTGAATTGAGTTCCACGTTGCTTGCCTCTTCCTATAGCTCGAACCTTTAATTCTTCTCACATTTTGAACCTTCAGCTTTTATATCACTTGTTAGAGATCCATACAGCTTTGATATCACTTATTATCAGATTTTACTATCTACATACCACATGTTAAGCCAAAAGGCCTTAATCTAATCACATCAGTGAAAGTGAAATCAAATAATCAATCAATCACATAAGAGGTAATAATTTAACGTGATTTGATTCAACTGAACTACGTCTACGGATGAGAAATAAAATTAATTAGTTGTAAAAAATTAAAAACATATATCAAAACATATTAACCACTCAACAATCAATACCAATCGACCCTCTCAATCTCTTTTAGTACTATGAAGTATTCTCAATCTAAACTAATACATACCCATGTTCACTATTTCAATACAACCAAACACATACGTTTATGCACTCATACATCATACCTATGTGGACACATACATCATACTTATGTGGACTTTCTTAGTCTTTTTAATCCACTCACAAACAAACATATACACCTATAAAATATAAATTTTTAGTAGTATGGAGTGTCTACCTATAGAATCCTATAACTCTTAATTTTTTTTCATACTTAACTTTGTAAAGACTTTAATTATTTATAACTATATAAACTTACCTATTAAAAATTTATTTCCTTACAAATCAAACTTACGTATTAAAAATTTTTTTTCTATAAGTTTTCTTATCATCAAATAATATATAACAAATTTCAAATAAATATCTGAATTATTATTGCCAACAGTTTTCAATACAAAGCCCTCTGCTCGTTTCCTCATAAAATGCTAGAAAAGAAGCAAAATCAAAGTTCTTAGTTTGAGGATATCTTCTTTTTCCAAAATTTAACTTTGGGTGTTCAAAATTTCAGGATGAAGTGAAGATTTCAGAAGTGAAGAATCGAAATGAAAGAGTAATGTTTTATGTAGGAGGAGCCTCAGCCTTATCAACAAAATGTATGCAATCTTCAGAAAGAAAAAGGAAGTTCGCATTGGTCTCTTTGGTGCTAGTGGTTAGACTGGAGCTGAGGTTTGAAACTTTTTTTATATATATTTATATTAAGTGTGTCATTGATTCTATCTTTATTTTTTCTTTTTCTCACAAATTGTTCGGCTCCTAGCAAACCATCCATACTTGGCATTACGCTGATGACTGCTGACAGAAAAGCTGGCCAATCTATGGGGTCAGTGTTTCCTCATCTAATAACACAAGTACGCAAGAACTCTTTCAATTTTCCAAAAATGAACTTCGGTTTTGGGGCATGAATGAATTCTGTTATCATAATAATAGTTGATTGTAAATGCTGAAGTAGCGGTTGTGCCTATTTTCTGAGGCTGGTCAAGTATGTAATTGTTATGTTACTTTCAGATAATGATTGAGTCCATTTCTTTTTGAGGATCTACCAACTATGGTTTCAGTTAAGAATGCAGACTTTTCCAATGTGGATGCTGTGTTTTGTTGTTTGCCTCGTGGAACTACACAGGTGCTCTGTGCTTTCATTACCTGTCAGTGTATCTTCTCTACTTTAAAATAGAGTCATTCTTGTCAATTATCATAATAAATTTTGTTTATTTTAGTACCTTTTAGGAAATCATCAAAGGCCTCCCCCGCCATTTGAAGATTGTTGATCTTTCTGCAGTAAGCTTTCAATTCACTTATGTTTCCATTCTTTTAGAGATCTGTTTACATGCCCGATGTAAGGTTCTCTGCTCATGTAATGTATTATGAATAATTTTCAGGGCTTTCGGCTGAGAGATTTTGCTGAATATGAGGAATGGTATGGTCAACCACGTAGCGCTCCAGACTTGCAGGTCTTTTTTTATTATTTAATAAATAAAGATAAATCCTTTACTTTTTACCATATACAAAGGTTACTGTACATACTCCTTATACATGACTGCAAGTTCCAGTGCAAAGATTTCTGTTTATCACCTCAGATTTCCTACAGTTCACTGGAGCTTGTTGATGAGAATGTGCTCTGGTTAATTTTGTTGTTGTACCAAGCAGTTTTTTATTTGTCAGTAATTTTTCTATCCTTTACACGGTTTGTAATTTTGGATAGTTTTATTATTTATTCTTCAAGAATGGGTGCCATATGATATGGTTTTTGGCATTTCCATCCTCGAAAGTTTCGTTTTTTTCTTTCCCCAATGTTATTCTTTATGTAGATGGTTAGTTTTCACCTTAATCCGGAAAGAAGCTGTACATGGCTTGACAGAGATTTTAAGGGAGGAAGTAAAAACTGCACGCCTAGTTGCTAATCCTGGTTGTTATCCAACGTCAATTCAGCTTCCCCTTGTTCCCTTGATAAAGGTTTATGTCCATTATCTTGTGTTTTAAGTTGTTTCATGTCACACGTTTATTGGCTTGAGGAGCCAATGTTTTAACAGGTTCTATATCTTGCTGCATTTCTTTATGGGTTTTCTGATCTAGGTTATTTTTTCAGGACGTGGAGCCAAGGAAGTTAGTTTATACTCTGAAATAGCTGAAGGCATATATGCTTATGGTGTTACAAGACATCGCCATGATGAGTATGTGGAAACTTATGCATCTTGATTTTGGGATCTACTTAGTTGTCTTCATCTTGTAATAAGGTAGATGGATCCTGGCCTGCTGAAAATTGTTATACCCTTATTTTTGTTGTATTCTTTACACCTAATTTGAAACTGTTAACGGTACTTCATCTTTTTTATGGAACTATGATAGTTATGATAGTGGAATGTTTGGCTGTAATGCGACTCTGGAGACCTAAGTTATGATGTTAATTATCTTCCTAGGTGAAACCTGAGGGTGTGATATTTGTTCTGTTTCGCATTGCAGCTCCAGAAATTAAACAGGGATTATCTGATGCTGCAAATTAAAAAATAACCGTTTGTTTCACACCACACCTAATGCCAATGGTAAGATCTGTAATCAACTGCACTTAGTGTTTAACATCTATGTATCGTCTTTCCTTTCAAAAGAATTAGAACATGCGACTCTTTTCCTTAATTGTCATACCAGACCCGCGGAATGCAATCAACAATAAATGTAGAAATGTCTCAAGGAGTGACAATTGAGGCTTTATACCCGCAATTAAGAAAATATTATGAGGTATATCTTATCTAACATGATTGGTTTTATACTTTGTTTTATTTGTCAGGTGCATCTAACCTTGTTTCAGGTTTCTAAATGGCTATAGTTTGTGCATGGACTTGTGATTGCAATACCTGCTACACTCCTGTTTGTTCTTCTTTGTGTTGTTTGGGTCCTAAATATTTGTTTCACCTTTTTCTTTTTCAGGATGAAGAATTTGTAAAGTTGTTAGGCAAGGGAGTTGTGCCCTGTACTCATAATGTTCGAGGTTCCAACTATTGTTTTATGAATATCTTTCCTGATCGAATACCTGGAAGGGCAATAATAATATCATTTGTGCGTATTAACCTTTAGCATATGCACGAGTTTCCTACGTTTTATTGTCTCTTTGTATTCTGAGCTCTTAAAATCTGGTGTCCGCAGATTGATAATCTTGTGAAGGGAGCTTCAGGTCAAGCACTTCAAAATCTTAATATAATGCTGGGTTATCCAGAAAGTACAGGGCATCTCTACCGGCCCTTGTTTCCATGACATATTCTTTTTCTTTTCCCTTCTAAGAGTAAGCTGATTGCTACACTTCTCACATTTATTGTGCATAACTGATAATAATAGAGTCAAAAACACAATCTTGTTACCAGCCAGCAGCTTCCTTGTTCTTTGGCCTAATCAATTGTTTTTTTACAGGTGGTTGGAGAAGTGGAATTGTTATTAAAAAATAAAAAAGCTTTCATTTTTGAAGGTCTCCAGAGCAAGTAGAAGATTGCTGTTGCAGTCTTCATCTTTAACAAATTGCATCTTTAACCAATGGTTAGAGGGTACTCGATGGCAAAGCTCTTTTAGATTGGATCTAAAGGATCATTTCATGTACTGTAAGTCTATAACAAACTTTCTAGAAATGGAGACAAGGAGTCACCGTTACAGTTAAAGACAAGGTCAACACTTCATGTGGTACAAAACTACAGAGCAGTACATAATGCCACTTCACTTTGAAAGGCAATAGCAATAAAATGCTGGATTCACGCTGACAGAGAGAAATCCTTACCCATACCCACTTCCACGAAACCGATAGCCTCCTCTGTCCTTTCTCACCCAAAGTTCCAAGGATAAACTTCGATGAACATTGGTTGACCAACCTTCTCAGCACATAGGCACTATCAGAATCACATTGCATATATTACCTCACCACTACTATCGATGTCTAGTTCAGGATCACTGTCGAGGTCCTCCTCCATATCATCATCAATATCCAGGTTACTGGGCAAATAATGATTGAGAGTTATTGTATTCGCTGCAGGGATAGTGGCTTCAGTAATGATCTGCATGATTTTGTCAACACTTTGCATAGGTTGGTCAGGTTCTTCGAACTGGTTGTTCATTCTATTCTCGTCCATGAGATCCGCTGGTAGGTTCTTTAAAAACCACTCATGATTCCTAATTTCAGGAATGGATATCCTCTGTTGCAATAAAAATCAAATCAAGATTATATACTTAGAATTTATGAATTAAGTACCATGGGAAAATGAAGTTGTAACTTATATGAATTAACTTCTATGATATTCCAGGTACCATTGTTACTTGAGAAATAAAAAATGAACCATTGATAGATGGTGTTGGTGACTTGTTAGGCATAGTAGCACAATCATGAAATATCATAGAGGCATGAATATTAACTCAAGGTCTCAACAAAACGAGAACTAACCTTCGCTGGGTCAGCCACAAAAATCATTGAGATGAGATGACGGCACTCAGGAGATACATGGACATAATCAGGGATCGAGTACTGGACATTTAAAATTCGCTGGGAGGACCAACCAATTACATTAGTCAAGGGTTTAAGAAGTTGCCACTTTCAATATTAAGCGAGGAATGAATGTACATGTATTGTTTTGCGGAAGTTCCTGGGATCCTCAGGGTCTTCAAAAGGATATGCTCCAACCAACATAACATATAAGGTTACCCCACAAGACCAGACATCCGCAACCTGACATTTAATTGGAAAATAAAATTTTAGCATGTATATTACTTACTAAGAGAAACATATGTCTTTGCATATGCTTAGGGTGAATGTAATATCCTTGCTCTCATACTAATCAATATCTTAATACTTTATTGAAGTATTTTGATTGGGAAATTAACCGTAAAACCTTGAGCACAGGAAAAATTGTACAATATACCCATAAGAACATTTCTCAAAATAATTTGTTATGAGATTCAATTTCTAGAACTGAAGCACCAGCAAGTAAGTTGAAAATGACATTCCTGCCAGATTACAGTTCTAATCTGCATCTCATATCCCATTCCATCCATATCCATTGATCCCATCTGCATAAGAGCAACTATTGATGATTCAGACTTAAAAAGTATTCTAAATCTTTCCTTCTTTTTTCTGTACAAAAGAAACCAGAAATAATCCAGACTAACGACGACTCAACATCTTTCCTTCTGTATAGTATATTTACATCTTCCGTTAGAGTCCACAGAGCTAAACTAATAATGGTACTCTTAACCAGTCAGAATTGGCAGGATGCATAAAGATTGTCTTCTCACTAGTAGCTAATCTTAACCTGCCAGAAGTGCTCACTATACACAAGATGTAGCCTCCTAGTGGAACAGGAATGTTCCACAGAAGTATTAGATATATCACACATGCACTAAAACAAGGACTAGGAAAAGCACAAGCCAAACTATTCTTAAATGGTGCCTGGCAGTTTACATTGCCTAATCCCTGAGATTTGCACCATTCATCATCAGCCACATATAGTAAGGCGTGATGGTAGTTAGTCGTCTCTCTGAATTATTAGGCAAAGAAGTTTAAAACACAAAACTGGCAAAACAATGTAGCACCAGAGTAATTCAAGTAAGACAGGAGATCAAGGCAATTAATAACTGAAAACAGAGGCGATTAATGTTGCTACGAAAGGTTTAATATGGGAAAAAGATTTACATACAGAAAGGCTAGAATAGTTCTTTGAAAGAACAAAGCAGAAGCCTGTTAGTTGAGACTTGAGAACACAACATTCTTAGTTGGACAGAACTTGCATCCCACAAGTATATGAAAGTTTAAATCAGGCAAATAAGAAGCAATATTACCTTTCCATCATATTCTTTCTTGAGTAACACTTCAGGAGCTATATAAGCTGGAGTTCCAACTGTCGATTTTGGTTGTGAATGCAGCACTGAGGACTGGAAAAAGTATAATATGTCAACATAAATGCATATGGAAAATCAAACACAATGAAATGAGAAAAGGAGAGGGGAAAAGGAAAAAAGGAAAGAAAGGGGGGACTCCTCACTAGAATGGAAGAAGTTGCATGCATTATAAACATCTTTTGATGCACTAATCAATACTATTCAGTTACTAAGCAGAACAAAAAAATTCAAATTCTACAATGGCACAAGCAAATGCTAAAGGGCATCTTGTACCTTGGAATATCCGAAGTCACAAATTTTCAAACGAGGAGCTGGACTCCCATCCAATAATGTGTTCTCCAATTTCAAGTCCCGATGGCATACTTGCTTCAAAGAGGAATTCAGAAAAAGGGATCTAGCTGAGTCAACTTGTATTCTCTTTCAGACAAGTAAAGGAACAAAAACTATAGTCACTCACCATTGCATGACAGTAACTGACTCCAGATATAAGCTGTTGAAAGAAAAAGCGTGCCTGCAAAATATACCAGGATACATAAAGGAAAACTACAGGGCACTAACAGGAGAAAAAAAAAAAAAGGGGCAGCGGTTGGGGAGTTTGGGAATCTATTGGTTAAGAACCTCATCCTCATCGAACCGGCCTGTATTACATATCCGCTCAAATAGCTCTCCTCCAGATGCATATTCCATCACAATAGCCAGATGGGTTGGTGTTAATATGACCTATGTCACATCCAAGATCACAAGTTAAAAATCTTTCTCAAGGATGAGAAAAGAATAAATCTTAATAATGGAACAAACCTCTTTGAATCTGACAATATTTCGATGCCGCAGAGACCTGTGGTTGATAATTTCCCTTTGTACATTTTCATCTATCTGTTGCACACAACACACAAAGAGGAAAACAAAACACAAAATCTTACTGAGAAATTCTTCATAGACACATTTTGCAAGTGAAAAATTACACACTATAGCATATCCAGTTCCATACATAGTGTCTCAAACGGATTTCTAATTCAAAACCATTTATGTAGGAAATCTAATGTAGAATGAATAAATTGCATTTTCAGCTGCAATTTTAAACTTCAACAAAGACAATCTCAAAGACCTATTGCTTCTCAATCACTAATACAGCAAATAATGATTAACACAGAATAAACAAAAAAAAAAAAAATCAAAGAAGTTGATCATCAAAAACTAGCAATAAACTAAAAAGTTCAAATTCTAAAAGCAACATGCAACAAACCACCTAACTCTTCACCAAATTAAAACCCATTCATGTTCAACCACCAAATAAAGCGATTAATTCCAAAACCTGGAAAAAAAAAAAAAACTGGGAAAAACACCACTAAAAATTTTGAAAAATTTTGGTGTTCAAAGTAAGAACAAAAGGCACTAACCTTCTCACCTCTCTCGATATACTTAACAGCAACAAGCTCATTAGTCTGCTTATCTCTCATCAACCTAGCCACCCCGAAATTCCCTGAACCTATGTCTCTAACCAATTCATAACGATCGCTATCATGCATGATTGGCATGTCCATCCCTGGTCCCACTGTTATTTCTGATCGATCCATTTCTCTTTACTCGAACAAAGCCCAACTTTTAAAAGAGAAACCCCAGGCAGGAAAAAGAAAGACAAAAAAAGGGCAAAATCCAAAGCTCTCACATTATCATATCGTAGTTTCAGAGAAAACCCAGTTCGAGTCGAGCTAGGCGGTGATGGTGGTGGGGTGAAGTGGCAGTACAGTAACCGTCGATGGGTTTCTCTTCTTTTTTTCTGTTTTGGCTGGTGAAGAAATGGGTTTTTGCCCCTGAAAGTCTTTACCCACTTGAACTTCTTTCTTTTCTTCTCTTTTTTTTTTGAAGGATTTTCTAAGGACAAATTTTAGAAAGAAACAGAGAAGAGAGCTTGTAAACTGTGTAGCCTTTTTTTTCCTTTTTTTTCTGCTCACCGCAAACTTTACTTTCCTTTCTGTGTTTAAAAAAGCTATCTTTTTTTTCTTTATAAAAGAATAAAAAATTTTCTTTTTTATGTTTTTTTTTAATAAATATTTTAATATAAAATATGATATAATAATATAATATAAATATGATATAAATATAAAATATAAAAATAATATAATTTTTAATTTTAATAATAATTATATCTATATTTAATAAAATTAAAATAATAAATTTTAATATTTAATATTAATATAAATTATGATATAAATTTTTATATAAAATATTATATAAATATATATTTTTAATATTTTATATTATAAGAATATAAAAAATTTATATATAACACAGAGAAAAAAGAAAAAAAGCCTTCATTTTTTTGTGATTTTGGGAATTCTCAGAGGGAGAGAGAGCTGGGTGATGATTGGTCTATGAATTAGTGTAAATGTGTTTTGAAATGACTGGAATGTCCTGGATGTTTCACTAATGGACAAGTGATTTTCTCTGCGTGTGTCGTGTCTGAAAATTTTTGCCCTTTTTGGTTAGTTAGGAAATGACTGATTTGGGGCTTTCACCTGGATAAAGGCACTGATAAAATCTTATTTAGTAGGGAAACAAATAGAAACTTTTTTAATTAATGCTGCCTGAAAAAATAAGTGAAAATCAAGTACACTAACCACAAGAATTTTGGTTGTTGGGTAAAAGGCATAGCTCTGCGTATAGGCTAACAGCATGAAATCTTTTTCTTTTGAATAATTTATGTGCAACAATTTTTTTTTTTTTGTTTCAAAGAAAGGGGACACTATGTTACATAAAAAGAGGAAAGAAAGAGGTTTAATTCAAACCCAAATTTTAATATTTTTTTCAAATTTTTTTATCACTAAATCGAAAAATAAAAGATATATTCTTAAGAGACGAAAAAAACAAAATAATAAAAATTCAAACACAATAAAGTTTATGGCCCAAGAATAAAGTGGGAGGGGTACTTTTGGACTCAAAAATATTTTGATCACTCTTTTTATTAAAGGTTATTAGTAGATAATTAGAAGTACTTTAAATTTTTGAACTAACTTAACGTATATAATGTCACATCTAAAGATATAAATGATATATTAGTATTAATAAATTATTTAAATTTGATTTAAATAAAACTCAAATTTAACTCAATTATTATCGAATTGAATTAGAGTTCAAGTAATTTGATTTATTGATTGAATCGAGTTCAAGCATTTTTATATTCTGTTCGAGTTGCTCGTAAATCTAATCAAACTTTTATATTTAAATATATTTTTATTATTTTAATTTATAAAATATCTCGAACTTGAACTCAAGTTCGAATACAAATAATTGAACTTTTATCGAATATAAGAATCGAACTTATTTTTACATATTAATCAAGTCTAATCGAACGAGCTCAAGTTAAAAAAATAAAGCTCGATCTAAAAAAATAAAACTCAATCGAATTTGAATAGAGTTTTGAGCCTCAAATTTCGAATAGAGATCGAGCTCCAACTTAATACTTTATCAATTTAAACTCAATCGATTACACTCTTAATCACGTCAGTTCGTTTACGTCACTATTTTATCTTATAAAACCCTACTATCATTCCATTCCCATTATATTCATATACTCTTACATTTCTCTTCTTCCAATATCCTTTATACTGATATCTAATTTGAGCAACGTAGTACAAACGCAAAAAAAAAAAATTTCTACATTTATTTTTAACTGTTCTTTTTAATTTCTTTTCTTATGATAAGGTTTTTGTTCTTCACCTCAGACCTTGACACCAACAAAAAGAAGTTGGGATTTAAATTTTTAAATGTATTAAATATTATTTTTTAAAATAATTATAAGAACTAACTAATGTAAGCTTTGAATTTAGCCAACATTTTCTAACCTTTGAAAATGTACGAAGACTGAATTCACCTGCGTGTTCATTTTTTCTTCTTTGCTAAACGTTACAAGGAAGAAAGATATAGTTGATGTTGTCTTGTTCCCTTTCTTCATCTTGGAAAAAATTTGGGTTCCTTGTTTCAAGGTCAGGGTGGTTGAACCTTAACATACCTTGGAAATATGGATTCAAACCAATAACAAAATGTTTGGAATATAGATGCATCCATAACAAAAACGTATTTTTAGAAGCAAATCAAATGATTTGAGTAACTACTACCTTTTTTTTTTTTTTTACTCTAAGTAGTCAAACATTTCAAATACAACTTGCTATCTAAGCCTTTTCAATTCTTCATTTGATCAACACCAATCAAATGCCTCTTCAACCAAGCAATTTCGTGAATCATGAAGCTAGTTCTGAATACATTGTGCTACAATAGTATAATAAGGGGGTGTTTGGTTCGTAAAATAATAAATTTTGAGAGAAAGTGTGATCCTAAAAAAAATACGATATTCGAAGTTTTTTTTTCATTTTTAGGGCATTTCATATATAGATTCACTCATTTAATTAGAGAGAATCCGCGTATATTAATTCATAAATAATTATCATAATCTCATTAAGATATATGATGATAATTTTTCATTAGCTTTTATTAATAATGAATACTAAAATGAAAAATTATGTTTTAACAGTAAAAGAAAACAAATATTTTTATGATTGTTATTTTTATTTATAAAATATTATCAATAAAAAATATTGAGGATTATTTTTTCCAATATTTTTTTTAAAAATGAATAAGATTATTAAAGATATTTTAGATAAAAACGTCATAAATAATCTCCTTTATTTTTTAAAAATGCATTATTTAATGTAGTTTTAGACAAAAAAAAGCCTTAAATAATATCCTTTAAAAAATTTATGATATTATTTAAGGTAATTTTTGTCTAGAAATGCTTTAAATAATGACCTTTAAAAAAATAAAGAAATTATTTAAGGTATTTTTGGATAAAAATACCTTAAATAATCTCCGTTAAAAAATATCAAGAGATTATTTAAAGCAATTTTGAACCAAAAATGGCTTAAATAATGCCTTTTAAAAAATATGTGGTATTATTTAAAGCATTTTTTATCTAACATATCTTAAATAATGTTGATATATTTGTTAAAAGGCCTTATTTAAGGTTTTTCTGGATCAAAAACCTCTTAAATAATTTCTTTTAAAAAAATAAAAAGAGATTATTTAAGATGATTTTGGTCTAGAAATGCTTTAGATAGTCCCCTTTATAATATAAAGAGATTATTTAAAACATTTCTATACTCCTTAAATAATTTATTTGTAAAAATATAAAAAGATATTTATGGAGTTTTTTGTACAAAAATGTCTTAAATAATCTTTTTATAAAAATAAAAAATAATTATTTAAGATGTTTTATATATAAAAACACCTTAAATAATCATTTTATAAAATATTAACCCTAAATCCTAAAATATAAAAAGATTATTTAAAGCGTTTTTTTGTATAAAAATATCTTAAATAATTTATTTATAAAAATAAAAAATGATTATTTAATACATTTCTTCTATCAAATGCAATTGCAATATAAAAATTTTTTTTAAACAAGAACCCATAACTAAGTTCCAGTCACTTCAAACATATTTTTAAAAAAAGTAACGATTATTTTATAATTTTTTATTCAAGTAAAATTTAAAAATAAAACAACTTTTATCTCCACAATCCTAGAATATTATAAAGAGATGTGAATTCTTTATTCTAAAATTTTGGATATGGATAGGAATCTATCATTTTCTCCTATAATCGAATTATCCTAAATCAAATGTAAGAATTAAATACTTATAATTAAAATTCTAAAAAAATATTTATAGATTCTTTTGAATCAAATGCAACCTAAAAGATTATTTTTCATGTTTATAGCTGCGATGAACATCAAAATTTCATGTTTATAGCTGCGATAAACATCAAAAGAATGATTACAAAAGCAATTTATCCATGTAAAGATGCATCGTAAAGCTTGAATTAAGTCTAGTTGTGACGCATATATAAAATATGAGTTTCAAAGGCGATTATGGACGATTATATATAGGACCATTGAACCATGAGCAATTCCCAAAATGAGGCCCGCAGGCAAACAATGGGCCACCCTGGTTTTATCATTAATGTATTTCAAGGGACTTAATTAAAAACATGCATCACCTTAATTATGTCTTGCAAAAACGTTAGTTTTTTGTAAATAAAAAAAAAAATAACAACCAATTAATTAATGATGCTATAGTGACAAAAACAATAAAAAAGATTAAAAAAGCAGATCAGATAGTTTTCCTTGTGATTATTTTAGAATACTTTCTTTTTCATGCTTTTTCATGCTCACTTGAGTTGGTTCGGACAACAAGGATGGTAATATATAACCCCAGTTATTGGTGTTTCTGGAAAGGGTTTCCCTAGCAGAGAGGGAAAGCAGGCGTTGATGCTTTGGCGATAATGAAACCAGAGTGATTCCCATAATTAATCCAGCCAGAGAAAGAGCTATCCACGTTATCCAGAGAAACTTTCCCCTTTGATCATCTGGAGAGTACTTTGAACATGTGTCAAGCACATGTTGGCGAATTGTGACAGATGCAAAGTGGCATTGTCATTGTATTTGGGAAGCCTTAGCAATAAACCTTGAGCAAGATCTTAATGCCAAACAGATCAGTTTTCAGGATGACAACATACGATTGGGACAAAAAGGATAAATCATGAACTAAAATATATAGAAAGATCTCTAGATTCGAAAATGCTTTTCCTGTATGAAAGTTGCTCATTCAGATTTGAAAGCTTACGCTCGAGAATTAAAGAGGAAACCAAGACTCAACAAGAAACCCATTTTTTGGCATGCATTAACCAGTCATATAACAAGTTCGAGTCCATATTGAGCTTGAACTGTGGGACATAACACATGTTTGACTGTTATATGACTTGATAATGGTAAGTCCTGATATTTATAAGCAAAAAGTGATTACACACCAACTTATTCATCATGTTAATTAGCAGATTGAATCTCCCTGATAATTTAATCTGTTTAGTTTGCTTAAATCCACTAGTATCGAAACATTAGTGCTTGGAATTAATGGATTACTTGTTTAATCA